ATAAAGTTTATTTTATATCACAAAAAAATTATTACTACAAAATTAAAGAAATTGACATTTTTTATTTTAAAATTTTGACAATGCTAACTTCAGGGTGTCGGTTTTTTATGACGGTGTGCGCATCGTAAAAATTTACTCTCTTCATTTTTCCCTTACGCGCCAAGAAGAAGTATAACTTCAAAAATAGAATTATTTTTATAATTTAAAACATACTTAATGTCTCATAACTACACTGTTCATATAAATTCTGTAGGTATATGTATATTGTAAGAGAGAAGAGGTAACGTATGAAGCTATAAGCAAATAAAATTGTAAAAGTATCTTGGTCTCCGAGACATCCAGCGCTCCTTGTCCTGTGCCAGTTCCCGCCAATTGCAGGCCTTTAGTTGCAGCAGAGCCTCCCCCACTCTGTCGAGCCAACGGTACCTGGTACCTGGTCCAACCTAGTGGTCGGAGAAATTTTTGGGGTCTCAGTGCCAGCGGAGTGAGAGTGTAATAATAACATTTATAATACTCATACTTAAAAACTTATAGTCAAAAATAAAAAATAAAACCTTAAATTTAATAGATATAACTAAGGGAAGGAAATATATAAAAATATACTCATTCATGTATGTTAAATTTTAGTTAAATGGAATAGGTTTAAATTCTATGGAATGTTATGACATGTTATGACATTTCTTTAAAAATATAGTCCAAACTGCAACCGTATGTGTGTACAAATAGATTAATATTAACACCATATACAACTACGCTAGAAAAGAAGATTTATTACGCTGTATTTCTAAAAACACTACCATATTCTTCAAGGTCAACGTTTGGGGGCGTGGAATGCATCATTCATAAGGAGTTATTTATTCAAACTTATAAATAGCGCTTGACTTTGGGTGCCAAAAATAATTATTCGTACAGATGGTCTTCCAAAACCGTATTTAAACTGTTATAATATATAGAAACACAACAACAAACAAGTAATTTCAACTTCTAATCAAACGGGTTGTCTATGTATAATTCTTATTTAGGTGATTCTAAATAATAAAACGAAGCTGGTACATACAATGTTTCTTTCACTCATTCAACAATTAAATTCTGACAATTCATTGTCTTCCTTACTCATAAAGGGCCAGATAGAGAGAGAAGATGTATAGCGTGAGAAACAGCGCGAGTACAATTATCAACACGTGTATTAAATAAAATTGTCGATTTTTATTTCGTACATAGTTAACATATTTAATAAAACACATAATCGGTGTTTATATTATAGTTGTAAATGAATAATTATTATTTGTAGATACACAATAAAACAACTCTTATCACGCAATAGGCGTATATTGATAACTAATTTAACAACACAGAAGACTTATTCCAAATTAATTAGTAGATATAACTCCTAATGAATTTGGAATAACAGAGTTCAATGTTCTTTTCCCATATAAATTATTGTATTAGGGTAGTAACAAATATGTACGAAAAAGAAGTAAATCGATGTAGTTATATTTAGTATAATATATTATAGTTTGTAAGAAAATAGTAGTGGAACTATTATTTATATATTAAAAATTGTCTGCCAACAAGCATTACAGAAAAAATATTAGTAAAAGTTCAATAGAAACTAACTACAACTTTGAATTAAAATACGGCTTGATAAATAATAGGTACGTATAAAAAATAGCGTTTATTTTGCACTATCAAGAATATTAGAAGTTTATACAAGGGGCAACAAGATGGCGCTGCTTTAAATACAACGCTAGAACGATAAAAATATCTGCCGATTGCCACGAACGATGGCGCGTCACTTCTTAGAATGTGAGCCATAGTCTACTAACATCTAGTAACTTTTTTTAATTTCCTATTTGTGTTTAAACATCCTATCATGTACGAACAAAAATTCCAATAAGCCATTTGCAAGTACATATTTGTATGTTGTTTGAGGTGGACAGATAAATACGTCCTAAAAAAAAACATAAAAATGATGTTGAAACATAATAGTTCATAAGAAATATGTTCAAATAAAAATCAAAATTTCCATAATTCAATGTTACTTACTAGTACGAGAACTTATTAGTATACGAAAGTTCCAATTTTATAACTTTAGTGTTCTGGACTCAGAATGTATATCTTTGAGGCACCTTTAAACTTATTACATATACGACAATATTGTGATTTTTTAATATTATTTTTTAAATAAATCGATACCTACCTATTTATTTTATAAATATAAGACCTCCGTAGTTAGATATTTACATTAAAAATTAACTAGTAAAGCTATTAAGACCTTTAGCACAGTTTTATAAAAGTCTTCCTTAGATCCAAGCTAAAGCTTAAAAAGTGTTAATTCTTTACATCCCTGATTCATCTGAATGACCTTTAACATACTTTACCCAAATAACTTTAGGGTTTGTTGATATATCTACGACTCTGATAATGAAAGTAATTCACTTCACATGCCTTAAACATAAGAAAAAGGATTACAACTGTTAGTTCAGTATACTATAATGACGATATCTGTGAACACGTTATGATCATCAAGAGTCAACTCACTAACCTTGAGGCAAAAAGGAGAAACAATCCCACTGCAAGGTTTTTTCTTGTATTTGTATGGTTATAATATCATAGTATTTCAATGTTTTTTTACTTTCTTAATATAAAAATCACACTTTAACCGCTGAACATGAATGAATTTTGATACAATAATATAATATAGAAAATAAGTAGTAGTGTACTTATTTTCTATATTTATATATATTATATTTTATTTGAATCAAATATTTTGAAATACTAATGTAGGTTTACCAATTCAATGGCTTATTCCATTTCTATGAATTTTGTTAATGCATTTATAACATTTTTAGTTAGTTCAACATAAACATTTCACGACTTAAGCAATATTTATTCATTTTGATACGAAAATCCGCATCACAATTATACATATGCGCGATAATATTTATAAACAATATTTTTAGTAACAATTTATCTGCGCATTATAAAAGTGTAAATTTACAAAAACTGTATTTATTTTTTGCGAACATCCCTAACGTATTGTGCATTATAGTTTTTGTTCCGCGCCCCTAACGTTATAAAAAAGGGACCATCCCTTGCCTCGGGTTCTTCCCTTAGTCTATAAAGCTGGAAATACTTGCTCAAAAATTGAACCGATAAATTAAAAAAAATGGTCATAATAATGCCAGGCTTCGTGGGTTGGCATCAATAAAATAGACGTAGAAATATGTTAATCCATCTAACGAGAACTAATAATATAAGGGTGTTAAAACATATACCTTTAAACATACCTCAATTAATTATAAAACCATTGCAATTCAGTACCTACTGGTCACACGGTATAATCTATAGTCTATACTTACCTAATTTTGTATATGCTAGTTAGTCTATGCCCAGAATCGATCTTTGGACACCCATTAAAAATAAGAAATACAATTTAGAGATATTCTGTTAAATAAATGAATAATTTAATAAATACCACCCACGGATGTTGTTAACCCACTGTGGTATAAATAATAAATTAATTTAATTATTGATAATTCTAACGCTGCATGAATCGTATGGTTTAGTTTTAAATTAGAATATATTATGATGTTTGTTACCATGACGACGCAAAAGCTAAACGAATTTGCATCAAATTTGAAACGAACATGGAATGCATAGGCTATTTTTTTACTGAGAAATTTTTGTGTCACCATTTTCCGTTATTCCTATATTATTAAATAAATAAAGTTCTTTGTTCTTTGATGTGAATTTTTTTCGTTCGTAGATTTATTCATTTAATAAACCATATTATAAATCGTATCTAGTAGAAATAAACATTGTAATGTTTAGTTTAATCATCTATGATCTAATGGTTTCTTGTAAATTAGAGATACCTACCAATTAATTAATAATCTATATGTATATATTTAATATCTTACAATTATGCTTATTGGTAAGTGAAATGCATTTCGATTCCTTGATTGCAATATTGGATTAATAGATATATAAATCGGGACAATATTTCCAATTTTGTTCCAATTTCCGTAATTTGTAGTACCTAACATCAACGTACTATACTAACAGTCATCAATTTATCATATGAGTGTCAATGTTTATAAATATTTAATCCACTTATAATTATTGTATATTCGTATTGTTTCAATATGAACAAAGCTATTGGGACAAAACCGCAAATCAAAATAGAAATATCGAAGTTAATACGTCCGGCTTTGTGGCTTTGGTTTCAATAAAACTAAAATCTCAAATTAAAAAGAGGGAGTATATAGCACGTGGCGATCTATCAAAACAACAAAGCCGATTGGTGTTACGTTCCACCCCGGTGATATGTACGCCGTATTACCTAAATGCCTTATGTACACCGCTAGTAACTACTTCATGACTACTCCGAGCTCAGTGTGTACTGCAATGCAACGGAAAATATGCGTGTTTACCAAAGTCGTTTCGGTAGAACGGTATCGTTGCGTCACGTTTAAGGAAATTGATAGTGCGGCGAGGTCGACGTGACTAACATAATTGCAATTTTACGAGCATTTTTATATATCAAATAACAATAGTGTTTTGTTAAACAGTGATATTTTGTGATTGTAATGTACCTAATCCCAGATTTATCCGATATTCCCTATGGAGGCCACGCGATTGCGCGGTGCCACGACTCGAAGCGTGTCCGATATAACCTTGTTATGTTGAGTAAGTATGTTTTTTGTTTCAATCGCTTAAACATTCAAGAGTATTTTTGGTGTTACGCATATTTTATTTACTCTAATAGAAGGACATAAACCTAAGATTGACGGTTTTCTGCAGAAGTTTGTAGAAATAGGGCAGGATTTAGTGAAATAATTTTAGGTAATATTATCGAACGTCATAGCGAGACTCAACAAGATGGCGGCGAGTGGGGAGAGGGCGCCCAGTATGCCAGGTGCTGCCGCCGCGTCGAGTTCGGCGCTATAGCTAACTAAATAGGTACGCAGAGTGTTGTACATTTTAGAACGTTCACAATGGCTACCGCGAAAGACACGTCTGCTTTCTTGCGTGAAGCAGATGCTAAAGATTTTGATAGTGTTTTAAAGTTATATCCACAAGCGATTAAACTAAAGGCCGACCAGAAAACAAAGAGGCCCGAGGAGCTGATAAAATTGGACAACTGGTAAGTACGACGTCTTTCTAAGGAGAAAATGCGGCCGTGGCGTGTCAATGAACTTGTATTGTGTGTGTATCCGTGCAAACTGATTTGATAGCTACCTCCCTCGCGGACTGCATCTCTAGTCCGCGGACGGCTCATTAAAATCACTGCGTCACGTGGGATCGATGTCAAATTGACACTATCGTTTTTCCTGAAGCCAGTGTGTGGGAAAATATCACGGCGCTTAGGCGTTATAAAATGGTGGCTGTCCTTTATGTATCGTCGCTCGTTAATTGCAGTTATTTTGTTCATACTGTAGCGTTCAACCGATAACTCGCTTGATCCTTGATTAAATATCATACTGTAACTCTAGTATTTGTATAACATTATTTTATAGATGGATCAAGTTTTAAAGCAGATGCTTTGTTGAACGCGTACATCCGTTCAAAATGGTGACTTGCCATTTAGCTTGAATTTTGTTTAATATATTTTCTTTATAACTTAATTATTAGATTAGTCATCTATTGATCTAAGAACAAATATAAAACTCACCTTTTAAACAATTGCCAATTTTAATACGGTAATTCAAAAATACATTAGTAATAATATAGGAATAGTTTATCCTTACAATGAAACACAATAAATAAATTCATTTAATTAAAATGAAGAATTAGGTTCCTTTATTTGTATAAATTATAATTTTGAATATTAGTATAATTTGGCATAGTGGTTTTATTACCTTTGTGAATCTGTTTTATGATTTAATTAACAAGAACATATAAAACAGTATTAAAATTTAAAATCAAGAATATACAGGGAAACAATAATAGTTGTGTAGAAATAATATTTATTTTCTCTTAGTTTAATTTAGGTATTTAATTGCCAATAATAAAACAGAAATTTATTTTTTAGTAACAATATTTTTTATTCAATCTGAAGAACAGATTTTTCCTTAATAAAGAATAACTTTATATTAACTTTTTTAAAATACATTAAATAATTCTTGATTAAAATTTATTTTGTCAAATATTTTTATTTTATTAAATGCGGTTTATTTTTTTTAAATATCGCTTTACGGCCAGGCTAAAGTAAATTCAAAAAAAATATAGAGTAAAATTAAAATGCAATAGTTACAACAAAATAAACTCGTTTAATATTGACATCATCGGATAATGCATACTTTATTTAATATTCATGTCATTACACAGACAATAATTGTCTTAAATAATCATAAATACTCATTATCAAGTCTTTGCGATAGGAGTTTCGTATTGCCAAACTTTATTATGTAATGATTTTAAAAAAAAGATATTTTGATATCTGCTCATTTAAAATACTATTACATTCATTTGAATTAAAATTTCGAAAGATTCGCTGACAAAACTTGAATTGGAGTTCTGATGTTATTTTGTTTTCAGGTACCAAAATGAATTGCCCAAGAAGATCAAATCCAGGGGCAAAGACGCGCACATGGTACATGAGGAATTGGTACAGCTGATGAAATGGAAACAAGCCGTGAGTATCGTTTGCTGTTGTCAGGGCTTCAGTAAGTCCTATATAATTTCTGCAATTTCTTCATTGATAACTTCTCTTTATGCAAATCGATCATCAGCGTTCTCCGTCCGACTCTGTCCTTTGGGTTGTCAAAGTATGCCTTCAGCTTACAATAGGTAATTCTTAATATTAAAGGTAGAAACTATACACGTACACTTATGAAAGTCGGTTGTTAAAAATTAAGATTCTATAAGATCTGACAAGAGTCTACTTTTTATCGCGTAGTTTTACATTTAAAAGGAAACTGTAAACTGCAACCATGCTTCATTTGAAATTTTGAACTAAATCATTATATTTTACAAAATCTGTTAAAAATAAAGAAACTGAAAAATGTCTGGTCACTTCCCTAATAGTCTCTTAATTAAATTAAAACAATATTTGAATACAAAATATAGTTTGTTAACACATTAAACTGTGCCTATTTCAGCATAATTGAGCCGTTCCGGCTTGAATGAAGACGTATATTAAAACATTGGATGAGACAAAACGTGTTATCTAATAATTTGAATGTAATATTTGGTCATAAACATTATGCAAAACGTTTTCCGATAAAAATCCTCATAAACATTCATTGTTCAGCAATGTTTAGACAAATTTGGATTTTATGTTTATGAGTAGACGACCCACTTTCAACTAAAGTTTAAAATAAATTATATGCAGTTAAAAAAATCTATAAAGTACCTATATAAAAACGTTATTTACGAGATATTAGTACAATTAAAATTGAAATATTGCATTTGTCATTACTATGACAAAACTTACCCATTAGTTCAGCTATAGTTGTCAGTTTGTTTTTATTAAATATATGTTTGAAGGCTCAAACGGCTGGACTAATTTTGATGAAATTTTTAGTGTGTTCTTCTCGAGAATAGTTTAGATTACAGTTAGGTGATTTTTTTTTTATGGTACAGAAACATTTCTGCGTATATTTAGTTAGTTCTGAAGCAAGCTGTTCATACCTGTTCTGCCTAACCCAAAACAGTATTTGTTCTGTCGAAATCAAATTTAGTGCATATATGTCACTGCCGCTATGTTTCCTAACGTTCATAGATGTTTCTATAAGGATCGTTATTAACAGACGTTTTTTTTAAATAACGACTCGTAGCAAGTACGATATAGAAACTTAACGTAAGCCATAGTGGGCAGGCTATTGATACCACTTAAATCAAGTCTTCAATCTTTGCGTACAATCGAGCGATTACAATTTTAATGATAGTGTAATTTTACGGGGGCAATTCTAAATTATAGGAAACTAACTACCAACAATTATCTAAATTGTAAAAAGAAATAAAAAATCTGAAGTTTTTAAATAAACCTACTCGGCTTTTTGTTTTAAACATTGTAAAAATAACAATTTATAAAAGGACGTCATGGTTAAAAATAAGTATATTTTACCATATCAAAACGCGTAAAATTAACATGAATGTCAGTCATAATTTAAAGCATGAAGCGTCGGCACATTTTGATAAATTATATGAACAATATTTCGGAAATTGTTACAATTAGGCATTGTGACGTTTAGTATTTAGAGTAGTAATCTGGATTAATATTCTAGAATCTATATTGAGTGTGTCAAATAATAAAAGTTAAATATGCGACAAAGTACTAATAGTGTTAACGTCGACGTTTATACTTCTAAGAACGGAAATTCAGAAACAAATTGAGTTATGTACAAAATCCAATACATTTCTCTCGTACGAGTCAGATTTAGAAGTCTTGTTTCTGAATCTTATCCTAACAGTCGTGGCTCTACGTGACTTGTGCGTGAGAAAAGTCTTGCCCGTACATTATATTAGACTTCCATAGATTTTACAAGCGGCCATAATTATATCGAGAAATTGATTGAGTTAACGAAGCATTTTATATCGCGCATACTGACGGTGAAGGAAAACTTACATGTGAAGCATTATACATATATGTAACTAACTGCCCCCGCGAACTTCGTTTCTCCTTAATGTGATTTTACTTAGCCTACCTTTTTAGTACCTACCATCATTATATAAACCTTCAAGTTCGAGTTCAAGTCATAACTTTTAAATTGACAAATAAAAAATAGAGGTTGATCGTAAGGGGTTGTATGTATTTTTATGTTGTATCGTAAAAAAAAAAAAAAAAATTTTTTTTATCCAAATAATAAAATATATTTTTTTGGGGTGGACACTCTTTATAGCTTACGGGTTTAGTAGCCGATTCTCAAACCTACTGAATATGCATAAAAAATTTCATAAAAATCGGTTGAGCCGTTTCGGAGGAGTATGGGAACGAACATAGTGACACGAGAATTTTATATAAATTAGATATATACTTAAACGTTATTAAGTGTTATACATCTCTTTACAGCGGGGAAGGTTCTACCCACAACTATCATACCTCATAAAAGTGAACACGCCACGAGCCGTCATGGCGGAGACGAAGAAAGCCTTCAAGAAGCTGCCCAACATAGAATCTGCGATGACGGCTTTAAGTAATCTTAAAGGAGTCGGTACGGCCACAGCCTCCGCACTGTTGGCTGCTGCCAGCCCCGAGATAGCGCCATTCATGGCCGACGAATGCGTACAAGCCATTCCTGAAATGGAAGGAAGTGATTACACTGCCAAGGAATACCTCAATTTTGTTAAACATATTAGAAACGTCTGTGATAGGTTAAATAAGGTCAGTATATTTTTACATATTATTTGCTGTTGTCAGCCTATTAAGTATTGTTCTTAGTATTGTCTTTTATTGACATAACTTTTATACATAGAAAAACACTTTTTTAACGAAAGTAGAGGACACCGTGAGCCATTTCTGCCAAAACCCTCCATCTTTTAGTCGATACCAACTCCGGGGAAATAAATACAGATAACAAAACTTTTTCTACAGCTGTGACACTTTTTGACATTCAACACCTTTTGTCTTCAGTCACCGTGACCACGCACCAAGCACGCGAAACGTCGGTTAAATTTAAAATTATGTAAAATAATTGTAAATTTATAATAAAACATAACTTCAAACCCGTTAAAAAAGTGTTTTTCTAAGTATTGTTATTTTAATGTACTTCAGTTAGGCTGATGTCGGGTCAAGGAAAAAAGATGTTTGATATCACCGTCTTTAGTCGTGTGCACTTACAGGGAATAAGAATCAGTCGAGACTAAGCACTTCTGTCTGTCAAAACCATTTAGTCCATTGAAATGTTACATTTTTTAGGCCTTACCTTGCGTTTTTTAGAGGACGCAATTTTATTTTTTTGATGTGTAGAGGGGGTCAGTGTAAAGCTAAAAACAAGTTTGTGGGGTCGCCACCCTTGTCCCACGGCCGCCATCTTGGAAAAAGGGGTCCAAAAACCACGTTTTTGGCTATATCTCCTAAACTATCCATCGTACATAAAACCTGTAAAGACACATTTTGTAGCAAATCGCTGTGCCTACAATTATGTCTGTGTAACTTTTTATCATAAATCCAAAATTCAAAAAGTTATAAGTAAAAAAGTGAAAATATTTCCTATTTCTAAAGTTGACTAGGTGCGTCAATGCTCATGACAAGCCGATCAAAACAGCAGTTTTACCTTACTTTTAAGATCTCTCGTTTATTTTAAACAAATTTTCCAAATATTTTTTTTATTCCTACAATTTTACTTATTGGTATTCCTAGTAGGCATATTCCACAGACAACTTGCTGATATGGTAATCTTCGACATAATTATATTATCAATCAGTTATTAGAATGGTAGCTAGCTATCACTTTTTTATTTATAACTTTTTAAATTTTGGATTTATGATAAAAAGTTAAATAGACATAATCGTAGACACAGCGATTTGCTACAAAATGTGTCTTTACAAGTTTTATGTACGATGGATAGTTTAGGAGATATAGCCAAAAACGTAGTTTTTGGACCCCTTTATCCAAGATGGCGGCCGGGGACCACCCAACCCCACAAACTTGGAGTTAAGCTTGTATTGACCCCCTACATGTTCCATAAATAAAATTGCGTCCTCTAAAAAACGCAACCGCAAATGTAACTTTTCAATGGACTAATTAGCCTTTCCAGACAATTGTTCCAGCCGTGGACGGAAGGCGTTATTGGTATAAAAAGATAATTGCTAATAAAGAAAGTATAGAGAATTCAATCAATAGGTTACTTAGGTAATTAGGTTGAAAAAGCAGAGATAAAGCTTTCTAATATCCGTTATTCTAAATAGACATATAACATGTAATACAATCTTAAAAAAATATTTTATACAGGATCAAAACGGTTGTGGCAAGAAATGGTCACCGCACATGGTAGAACTCACGTTATGGATACACCACATAGTATCAGACTTACAACCAGAACTACTCGGCAAGCCCCCAAAGATCGCACCCACGAATGGGGGATCACCTTTGCCCAGTGACGAGAGCAATCTAGAACCGCCGACAAATGGTAATGGTTAGTATTCATTCCCATATATATACAAATAATAAAGGTACATACGAAAATTATGGGACATCCAATAGCTGCACAGAACTCGCATATTTGTTTTAATAGGTTTCAATAATTTATACACATATTATTATTATTTTATTTTGTTTACTCTTGTCAATTTGGGGTCGCCTGTTAGGGCAGGAGTGTTGTTATAAATAAATAAATAAATAAATATTTACAATTTTTAATGAAGATGATTATTTTATTTTGTGGTTGCTTGTTTAATTTTTCCCTTGCTAGCTTGCTTTTGTTCTAATATAATTGATGTGTATGTGAGTAAACTTTGTGATGACATATCTCACTGTATAATTTTATGCATACACGTTGTTTAAGAACTTAAAATAAATAAAAAATATCGTCAGTATTCTGTAGTTTTTAGAAAAATCAGAGTTAAGTTTTATACCTAAACATATATAATAAAACCATTTATTAATCGCGGCATGCTTTATACTTGCAGCACGCTTGCGGTTCCTAAATTAATCTATTCCAGGGTAATAGTAGTCACAACTATGAAAATATTGCAAACTATTCCTAAGAAAAAAGTGCAGTGCGATTCGATCCGTTTCCATATATAATCGATATATTGCAGAAACGTTATTACGCTGCCAGAACTGTCCATCATAATTCATACTTGGACACGTTTTCAATTGTTTTTCCCATTATCCAGGTAAATTATCATCAGAGTGCGCAGAAGACACAACATCTTGCACAGAAGACTCCATGGACGCAAAAGGCGCGTCTCCATCGAATCCAGCGACGCCAGCATCCCCCTCCGACAACTCTGACTCAGCGTTGAGCACGCCCCGAGCTAAACGGTATGTAACCTTATTTGGGTTAAATGGGTTTTGCATAAACTTGACTGTAGGAAAACCCTTTAAATTTTGATGTGGTGGAATTGGTTACATAATTAACACCAAAATTTTTTATTGTATTCTGTAGACTTCGCTGTAGTCATAACAGGAACCGATTAAATAAAATCAGTGGTTCTACAACCTCTTTAGGTCTTGGCCTCAGTTTTTTGAATCAGTTTCATGATCATTTTTAAATCTAATAGGCAAGTAGGTGATCAGCCTCCAGTGACTGACATACGCCATCTTCTTTTTGGGTCTTAGACATGTCGCTTTCCTCACGATGTTTTCCTTCACCGTTCGAGCAAATGTTAAATGCGCACAGAGAAAGAAAGTCCATTGGTGCACAGCCGGGGATCGAACCTACGACCTCAGGTATGAGAGTCGCACGCTGAAGCCACTAGGCCAACACTGCTCTATCTATGCTCTAACATGAACCGATTAATATAATTAAAAAATACATTTTAATTAAAACCTTTTTTATGTACACGAATTCATTACATAAGTGGATGAGTGCTTTGTGATAAGCGAGTGATTGCCATATCAAGTTATATTTGATATCTGTATTGGAATATAAACGTTGACATATTAACAAAAAAAAATATTCTATACGGTCACCATACACGGACACCATAGCAAGAAAGCTAATAAGCCCCATAGTATTTCAGAAGATGATACCTAGAAGTTACTGATAGAATTTCTATTCATATAATCACTACTTCTCTCAGTTATTATCGAAACAAGGCCATACTTTAATGTTCACCATTGTTTCGCTGGGTGAAAGTTGAAGAGTGTTGCCAATGAATATTTAGTAGCATTTGCACACAGGTGTGTAACCAATTTAGAACGATAGAAAAACCGGTGGCGCAATAATCTATTAGGTCTGGTCTCCAAATATTTGTTTCGTGATCATTTGTTTTTTTCTAATAGGCAAGTAGGTGATAAGCTTTCTGTGCTGACACACGTCGTCGACATTTTGAGTCAAAGGCATGCCCGGTTTCCTTCACCGTACGAAGCGAGTATTATAAAATATGCATAGAAAGTTCCATTGGTGTACAGCCGGAGTCGTACACTGAAGCCTATTGATATTCTTTTATTTAGGATTATTAACTCTTTAAAAAACGCCCCAAACCATCACTATTAAAAAAAGAATTTCAATGATTTTAAACCGTGCTAAACAAAACCCTCGGGTTCCTTGTAATTGTGTACTTGAATAATCTATAACATACTCTTTTCATAGCCGAGTAAAGTTTATTCTCTGGATTTTTTATGAAAAGAACCAGTGACAAAGGTACTTTCTGTGAAATAATTTACTAATTACGCTGTGTCACTTTTATCCTATAATTTATAATACAGTTTAAATCAAGCGTAAAGTTACCGGGCTCAAATACATTTATTATAGAAACGAACGTAAGTTGGTTCAATTGGGACAAAAATATCAATCACACGTGGTCTTAATTTTTTTTAATTTTGAGACAGTGTCTTTTGTGTTTGCCACGAAAAGGTTTTCTTGGAATACCCGAAGATGAAGAACAATTAAACAATAACTCAACCCTACTTAACTTTTTATGGGTATTACCAATAAGTCTGTGTAAATTAATATATTGGACTTCCTTGTCATATTACATTTATACTAGAAAGTATGGCACGGTGTTATGGCTCAAATAATTTAATGATTTTAAATCGTAGTTACGTAAATAATATGTATTTTAGATGTGCTGAAACTTGAAATATATTTATTATTTTATGTATGTCAACGGTCGTATAATATAAATATATATATTTATAATATAACTTATTGTACAACTTATTTGTATAATTAAACATTAAGTAGTTTAATCTCGATCTTGTCTACATGAGGTATTTAAACCACTAAACGACCTATTATTTTACAGGCAAATAGAAGAAGCGAGTTCAGAAGAGAACTCGCTGGGTGACGCGTGTGACGTCGCGCCGCCCGTCAAGAAGCTCCGAGAAGCCACGCACTGACAGCGCCCCCACCGAACCCGCGCGCCTATATAAATAGCTTAGACTTAATATTGTACCTAGGTAATTTATTTTGAAATTCCGTTTAATTTTAACTTAGATTAAGTTTAAGATTACCGATGAATTTTTGTAAGTTTTATAGGGTACCAATCGGATTAATCGTTTAACGGATGCGTTATGGACGGGCGCTCTTCAGCCCTGGTATGAGGTGACAATATCACTGTTGTTTATTGGAACCTGAATTTTTAGATCTTTTGTAGCAACGATGTGTTTGAAGCTAACCAACATCGTGACATAGCGGTGTTACCGTGTCATCTCATACTATGGGTACAATATTGTGAGTGTACGAGCGACTCGTGGGGCCTAGTTTAAGGTTTCGTTTATAATTTTACGTTCGCATCGCTGACATTCCAATAAGTGTAACGATAGGCGGCGAGGGTTAGTGGGGGGGAGGGGTTAGCCGCAACAGGACCAGATGCCTTGACGACACTCACTACATTGCCTTATAATACAGTCTGCCCGCAGAGTTTATATGCAACAAGATAATACAAAGGACGTGTTACCCGGGCACCGGGCACACGGGCCCATGATGTAGTTTTATTGAACAAATATAAGATATTAATTTTATAATGTCGCATTTTTATTTTACTCCTAAACCCTACTCAGAAAATCTATCTAAATATATCTCTAAATCACGAAGTTGAAAGCTTTCCAAGCAGTCATGAATTCATAAAAAAATATTAAACAATAACGTTAAAGTGAATACTTTCACACAAATATTTGACACAGAATTTACTTCAGCATTTAAAAACTTTTTTAGCAACGCTTCATACAATAGATTTAAATAAATAATTTATTTATATTTATTTTTATATATATGAACACTTGCTAACAGCATCATAATCATTTAAAAGGATTGTTTGACGCATAGAGATGCAGTTTTGCTTCAAATTGATTAAATTTTTCTGCACTCAATATATATTATGTGATTGATCTGGAGTTTATAAAAAACTTATGCAATGTAATTTTTATATGTTTTGGTCTTGGTTCAATGTATTTTCCACTATGTTATTTCAATTAACAGTTTTCAATTATCAGCCAGTTTTTCGAATTTCTTAGTAGGTATGTCTCAAATATAGTATATTTCATTACAAGTGCGGAAAGCCTGTCATTGCAAAGAGTTTCGACAAATGTCTACCCGAGCCGAGGCGCAGCCGAAGGTGAGGGTTGACAGTCGGAACAAGTTGCAATGACGGTTCCGCACGTGTACTCAACGACTATTTTTAATACAGTTGAGAAAAAATTATGCAATTTAATAAAATAATAAAAAAACAATAAACTCAACTCACTAATCATTTATTTCTTATACAAATTATTGTTCACATATACATTGGTACAGTTTTTTATACTAACTGGAGAAGTTTTACGTTGCATATTAATTTACTGTTTGAGACAAACTATTATATATTTCTTTTGATTTTTCATGTATATTTAATATAACAAACAACTAAACGCACAAAGAACATTTTTGGAAAATGGCGCCAACCGTAAAAGAATATAGGCAGATATTTTTTTTTCTTCACCCATTCTGGGTAGGCAAAGGGAACTATGCCCATACAGCCAAGTCTTCAGTACAATTTTTTATTGATATGAAATGAAATTTAAGGAGATGAAATGGAATCTAACCTAACTCATTGAATCAAATCATTAAATCTTATATTGAAACAAAGCAGTAGCTTCTTTTTAGAAATATTTGCATGAATCATAAAAATTTCTATGATTTTTTTTTAGTAAAAACTTCATGGTTGGTTTTTTCTTTTTAATAGACATTATTTTGACAGTTGGGAAAGAAAACGCACTAGTTCGGAAAAGGTAAAAAAAAAGCACGAGTGTGTAATAGCCCACATCCCGAACGCTATACGTCCCTGCAATACGCCACTTTTTGAGCAACTGTATTAAAAAATATTTTGAAAAGGACAAAATCAAACAACACTATCAAATTTTATCTTATATTTAATAAAATACATATTAAATATACTATAAGGCACTCCTCATGCGGTGCGCATTATAGCGATAATACGACTCCGTGTTGCTCCTTTTGTGTATTTTTAGGACTACCCACTTCGTGAACATTATGAGGGTAGTTGCTTTTTTATTTATTAACCATTTGTTGTTTTAAAAATTCAAAAATCCGGTAATTTATATGCATAAGAAGATAATCTGCGGCCCAATCGCTAATAAGTGATCCCTTCCAGGCAACCCTAGTCAAAAAAAGGTATATGAAGGGATCTGTGCAAAAATAGTTAATGCTTTCTAATTCTGAGTTTCAACATCCTGCTGCATTTGTGGGTAGAGTGTTGCTATTCTGTTTCCAGCGGTAAGACGACCAGCGAAGTCTGGTCTCCGTGGCGGTCTGGGTGCACCCAGAAGAGCGTCCAGAGCATTTCTTGGTGCCCAGACATCGCCATTACCATTACCAGCCCCGACGGGAGATAATGGCGAATCTGTGGTAGCGCGTATTACCGTCGCTCTTGACGAATCACCTGTAATATTTATGGTGTTAGAAATGCAAAAACTAGTAACTGCATTGTATTTAGCCTTAAAAAAGAGTTTGTAATAATAATAATATATTTTCTCCCATATAATATTTACATGGGAGTTAACATGTACATTACAATTACAAGGAACCCTGACAGGTATTTTTAATTCCTTAAAAGGGTCCCCAAATAACAATAATAGGCTATTTGACAGTATGAAAAATAAACTTTTAATGAAACTAATCTGTATAAAACACGGATTATGGAATAAAATAATTTCTATAAAATTTAATTATTAAAAATAAATATTTTTAAACGTTAGCCACGTGACACAAAACGATAACAGATTAGTCTAAATTGCGATGACGTAGCATGCTTGTAAATCATGCCTTACGAGTTTAATTTCGTCGGAGACCATTTATTATCGAAATATGTGTATTTGTGTAATTAAAAAAACTTGAAGTTTGTTTACGTGATTGCAAGCATAGTACGTCATAGAGACGCCATCTTGCCTCGACAAGCGTTTTGACAGATGCTTGAAATTATTATTGTTTAAACGCTTTAATCGAAATAATAAAATCAATTTCTATAGTCACCAATAAATAATCTGAAAAACGGTTTTAAAAATAGCCCATAATGAAACACATTTTTACCTTCATTACTATGGTTGTGCGACTTACACTCAAGTAAGGTCCGCAAAAGAGCTCGATGTGGGCTAGAGTTAGAATGTGCCCGTACTAGTGCCTCTAGTTCGCCCCATACTTGTCGCCATTGTTCCTCGCGACGCCCGCTTGATTTACCTCTAAAATTTGAATAATTTTAAGGTTGACTTTCAAATCAAATTATTATTTATTTATTAATATTCGTTACATTAACGTAATAAGAATTGAACATAAATAAATGAAAAGGAGGGCAACTGGCGGCCTTATCGCTATCGAGCGATCTCTTCCAGGCAACCACTGTAAAAAACATGTATTCAATTAATAATAATATAGTAAATATAGTTGATAAGACAAAACTAAACGGGAACAAAAAAACTGCCGCGGTAAAGCTATTGCATATTTGTTTTTCAACTTATGCAATTATAATTATTTATTTATGCAGTTTTTTTCCCCTTGATATTAAGTTTTTCAAGTTTTTCTTTTATAAATTAATTCAATCTGTCATTTTCGTTACGGAATTTCTGGATTCGGTCTCCACACTCGAGGCCCGCGATAGAAGCTATCCAATAGCTTAAAAACTAAACGGATTAATGGAAAATAAAAAGTGCACATGAATCACGATAATTTGATTATTATTTTAGACAGGAGGAGTCTAGGCTAAATCTTTTGCCTCACGCTTAAAATGTTCATCACTTACAATATTATCAAAATATATATATATATATATATATATATATATATAAAAGCTTTTATAATAAAACAAAAAAGGCTATGAAGTACATTACTAGATTATTAACATAAATAAATATTTATAAAACTTTTAATATTTTAGGGTTGCCTGGAAGAAATCGCTTGTTAGCGATAAGGCCGCCCGTTGCATTATAACTTTTGTAACCTGTTTTTTTATTTTTGTTATGTGTATGTTTTTGATTAAGGTAATAAAGTATATATCCTATAATCAAATCTGTTTACGGTACTAAACAGTTATCTATAAAATAACAATTTAAAGTTCCCTCAACAAAACTGTCTTCTAAACCTAGCACTTATGATCTAACATCACATACTTAGCGCTAAGTGGCGACTTCCATATGTCAAAAACGTATTTCAGTGTATATATTATAAATCTAATTATATGTTACTGTATCTGACCTCAAATTAGTTGGTAATTGCGCGGAAGGGAACTCATGCCTCGTCTCCATTCCCAATAATGAGAGAAGGACCCCACGACATGATTCCACTTCGTCTTCCGTTAACGATTCTTGAACGACTAGTCGTGTTAGGGGTTCCATTACCTGAAAAAAAAAACATTTAAAATCACTATAAAGCCTAATATTTTACATTTCAATAAAATAATTGCAATTATTAAACTTTGAAGTATTTCTTTAACAAATTAAAAGAAAATTTGACGAATAAGATATTGTACTATAAACACAGATTTCAATAGCAGTTAGCAATTATGAAATACATACAAAATTAAATAATATATATATATAAATATTATAATAATACAATTAATTTAAACATTGTGCCAACAGTTACTATTAAAGGTTTAAAAAATATCTGGTTCAAGTTTATATTAATTTAATTTCAAACAAAATACTATGCATTGATTAAAGGGTGAATTTGATCAAAATTTAAGTTCCATGGGCCCGATGCAAAAATAATTATAATTTTAAAGGCTTGTAGTTAAATAAAATACTCACAGATCCCAAGTTAAATATAAGCGTGGAAGAAATAGTGAGCGGCCAGTACGTCGTGTGCCGTTGGAGCTTCGTACGTGCACGCGTATTCGAACCGTTCCCTCTTAACGGGTGAATTTTGTTCTGTTGCATTAGGGCTCCGAATTCCTTTATTCTGAAAAATGTCAATATATTAACAAAAAAGTCCAGAACCCCCCCCTTTTCCCCCCCTTTTCCCTTTTTCCCCCCCTCCCCGGGGAATTGCCAATTTTTCCCTTTGTTTTTCCCCCCCCTTTTTTTGAAAAAAAAAAAAATTCCCCCCCCCCCCCCCCCCCCCCCCCCCTCCCCCCCCCCCCACCCCCCCCCCCCCCCCCCCCCCCCCCCCCCCCCCCCCCCCCCCCTTTTTTTTTTTTTTTGTTTTTTTTCTTTTTTTTTTTTTTTTTTTGGGGGGGGGGGGGTTTTTGGGGGGAACCCCCCCCTGCCCCCGGGCATTTGTTTTAGAGCTCAGAAAATAATTTATTTTATTTTTAACTAAACAAATAATTAAATGGTTTTTTAACATAACACGACGCGAAAGATTTATTTGTCACTTCATATACATACTTAATTAAAATGTTTATATATTAATGTTTGTTTACCGGCCCTCGTTTTTTAATATCAACACCTCTGTACTACACATATTTTATTATCAATTATATTTCATTTTAATTGTTTCCCATACAATGTATGTGCTTTTGGAAGGTGTAAGGCTGGCTTAGTTAGCCAGGACTTTAGCCGGTTGCAGACCGAAAACTAAGCTATGCCAAGGCTAAACTAAGCTATGCCAAGCAAGCTAGGCTAAGCTAAGCTAGAAATAAATAGCGTGCACACCAACAGCTAACCCAAAGCTCAGTCAGTGTTGCATAGTATGTGCAAAGGGTGTGCGGGGTAGCGCGAGGGGCTTAGCTTAGCTCGTGTAGCTGCGCATCGGCATACACAACTAACTTAGCTTCGCATATTTTAGTTAGCTCACATAGCTTAGTTAGCATAGTTTGCGGTCTGCACATAAGTATGGAAAACTGCGTCAGCTATGCGAGCTAAGCTAAACTAACTTAGCTTAGCTCTTGGTCTGCAACCCGTATTTACGTACAACGCACTTATTGAGCGTCTAAGTGCGGAAACCATAACCATAACCCTGTTGTGGAAGTACTAAGAAGACACTACTTTTTAGTTCCTTTATATCTATTTTTATACTATTGGGTGTGTGCGCACTCTTGAATAGATTTTTCTTTACTAATGTTGCCTGGATGATATCGCTTGTTAGTAAGGCCGTCTTCGTAATCATTTAAGTAATAAATTAATGAATATACCTATAATCCGTGACTCTTCCACCAGCCCCCTCTGACAAAGCGGGTGGATCTTCATATGGAGTCCTTCCACCCAATGCCCCAATCCATAGTTCCCCACCCTGCGCTGCTAAAACATGGGATGCTGATCTGCAGCCTGCTTTTCTTCTGAAAATCATATTTTGATATTTAGTTTTAAATAATAAAATCAGTGGCGCTACACCCTCTTGATTTTTGATTCATCAAGATACCCCTAAGGAAGAATGGGTTCACTTCTTTTCTCAGTAGTTCCATCGAATGCGACGATGTGTAGAGAGGAACGGAGATTACTTAGAAAAACAATAAAAGTATTGGCAACTTTCTACATTAAGCCGTTTTTCATTTTCTAAACACTTTCAGTGTTACCTAGGTAAATGTGGAAATTATTATTAATCTAATTTTACTGCCAGTAGGCGTACTATGTGATAAAAAAACAAATAACTTTTAAAATACTACGACATAATAAGGAGTATGATAAACTGTTATTTTATGACAAAATTATTAATTTCTTAAGCAAATTGCGTCTATTCTATATCGCCAGATATAAATAATACACAATACAATACAATTAACTTCATTAGTAGTTTAATTATTAAGAGTTACAGAGTACGCACAGTCTTCAAATCACATAGAGTCTGGCTAATGAAAGAAGATAACGAAAAAGCGGGGCAAGTTCAAAAAATTATATAGTATGGTATCCCTAAAAGTTTGATATATTTTGTGGATTAATTTTACTGTATTTATATGAAATTAAATACTATACGTATTTAGTCTTTTACTATTGATACTTAAAATGACTAAAATTGCTTGGAAAATGCGAAAGAAACGACATATTCTATCAAATAAAAAAAAGGGTCCGTGTACTTATGTACGCGCGTAAGAAGTTATACTTCTTTGGCAATATTAAAAATAGTTTGGCTTTGTTCCACCTCCAGTTTTTGATGTTTCACAGCGATAAGATGAAAACTCTTTTTTTGTATTCAATTTAGTGCAGTTACACTGATTCATCAATTGTTTTTTGTCTCTTTTCCTTATATTTGCTAGATAAAATCAGAAAAATTACATGTTTTGATTAAACAATGTGGTTAATTTTTTAATCAAAACATTACTCGATAATAATAATAATACATACGGATAGTTAACCTCAATTGTATTGAAGCACTTAGGAAGGTTGATGAGCACAGTTTTTTCACAAATATTAATTAGTATTGGTTTAAATATTCAATTTAAATCACTTCTGATTATAATTCAAAAAGAATCGCTAAATTTCTTTGAAAAAATAATTAAAACTCCTTTATTTGTTTAAAAGGTAAATGACAAATGTCATTATGGTCATTCAAAATTGTTGGCATACGAACTTCACGCATATTCTATTTCTTTTTACTTGTAGATTGTCTTATTCCTATCTCGCTCGCGCACGCTATAATCACACTCCTAATTTTGTGTCACGGGTGCGCGCGCATTGTAAAATTTCACTCTCATAAATTTTTCATAACGCGCCTAAAGAAGTATAACTTCAAAAAAGTTTTGCCTATTATACCTGTTAACTATTCGGATAAAATATATAATAGAAATAAAAATGAGTAATTCCATAAAGTATCAAGACAATAAATCATACTTAACTAAGCAATTCAATGACATTCTGTGTTGCCATCCGAAAGTTTTCAAATAATTCAATTATCTTCTTTCATTAGCCAGACTTTACACGATATGTACCAATGGTTGTGCGCTGCAAAAAAATATTTGTATCTCTTACGTGGGCACTTCCAAAGTGACCGATCGGCCATTAAGTAAGAAGTTCACGAGACAGGCGGAAGGACGCGAGGCGACATCTGCTGGAGTCACCCTCCACAAAGGCCCATTGCAGCCCCCGGCCCCCCCTTCCGCACCCCGTGGCGTCCACCAACGTAGCACCACCTATATTGCAATATTCGAAAATATTGATTTTGCTATGGTTTTTTTAAAGTTCAAAAATAATCCAGTGGCGCTACAACCCTAAATGGTTCTTGGCCTCAATTTGCTTCCGTCTGATATGGATTTTATAAAAGTGCGAAATCTGAACATTGATAGTTATGCATGCGAGTTGTATTTCAAAATCTAATTCTAATTTAAAGGAAATATTTTCCTTTTAAATTCTAATCGAATTAAGTTTACAAAAATTCAGCGACATTCAAATATACCGGAAGACATTACGCGTGATATAATGTTGACCCAGGGCCAGTTACAACACACACACATTACACACTTAAAATTTAATATTTTTTTAAAATTGTTATTTTTCTTTCTTTTTTTTAATTTTTATTATTTTGTGTGTGTGTGTGTATGTGTTTCGATAGTAATAAATTTTATCTCTATGTATATAAAGATCTAAAGTTTTCTTCCATGAACTTTAAAAAAAATCTAAATTATAATAATTTTAAGGTTAGTTCTTTAAAATTGTGATGAAAAAAAAAATTAAGAACGTTTAAAAATCAGAGATCAGTGTTGGCCTAGTGGCTCCACACCCCTGAGGTCGAGGTTCGATTCCAGGCTATGCACCAATGAATTTTCTCCCTATGTGCGCAACACTCGTTCGTTCGTTCAAAAGTCGACGTCACGTGTCAAACATAAGGCTGATCAGGGAGCGTTGAAGTATTACGTCACGCAATTATGGAGATTATCGATCCCCTCCCCCCGTGTAACGCGCCGTAACGTTTTTCTGTACCCAAGTATAGTAAAACGTTTCGTGACGACCCAGTGACTCTTTATACCTAAAAGTTACCATTATGTGGTGTGAAGTACTAGAAAGTCGAAAATAATATTAACAATAACGCGTAATTCAATCCCCGCGTTTTACAAAAGGAGACCCCCCCAACATTCGTTACGTAATACTTGAACGCTCCCTCACCTTTTATGAAAATAAAATGATCAAAGACTCCTTTAGGGTCGTAGCACCACTGGATTTTTATCATTCTAGTTAAAGCGTGTTGCTTATAACAGTAACATTATTTTTTTAAACCATACACGTTTAATGTCTTACCGACTCAGTCGCTTCGGCAGCTGTTTGTGAAGCCCGAAGCCCTGCATGGGCCTCCGCTGAATGTACTATCTCCACATCGTAATTTGCACTAGAACTAGCATTTTGCTCTTCCTGTAATTTAGCATTTAGACTATCAATTTCATCAAAGCAAAATGAACAAACACTTATTTTAAAAATACTAGAGAATCTTGAATTGAAAGAAAGCAAGAGAAACTTGTAGAGAATGCTTGTGAAGGTTATACTGGAAGGCGATCAGAGGGGCGGTGCCTTGTACTAAATTTAACTAGTAGTTATTTGTAAATAAATAATAATTTTATTCATATATTAAACATATGAATTAAAATTATATATATTACTAGCTGACCCGGAAAACGTTGTTTTGCCATTTATATTATTTCTAGGAAATCTTTTTTTCGTTCAATAAAAATAACTATCTACTATACTAAAAAATTGGGATTGATCGTAGAGGGATGAACATTTAGGGTTGTATGTATTTTTTAATGCCAAATAATAAAAAAAAATTTTTTTGGGTGTACACCCCTTATCACTTAAGAGTTTGAAAGATAGATAGAAGCCGATTCTCAGACTTACTATGAATATGCATAAAACATTTCATAAGAATCGGTCGAGCCGATTCGGAGGAGTATAGAAACGAACATTGTGACACGAGAATTTCTTATATACGACGATATAAAAGAAAATATTAAGGAAACAGGACTACAATTCAATTTATTCTTCTACACATATAACTCAGCAGCAGCAGCGCACGCTTCTCTCTCATCTTTATCTCTGAGGTCGTAGGTTCAATTCCCGGCTGTTGACCGGCCCCATTGGACTTTCAAAGTGCGTATTTGTATATGTAACACTCGCTCGTACGAAAACGGGCATGCCTTAGACCCAAAGAGGCGATGGTGTGTCAGGCACAGAAGGCTGATCACCTACTTGCCTATTACATAAATTATAACGAAAAACATAAGAATCTGAGACCCAGACCTGGATGGTCGTAGTGCCACTGGTTTTTTAAATATAGCTCATAATAATCATTACTCACTTTTTCATTTTATAATTAACTAGGAGACCGGCCAAGCGTTGCTGTGGCTAAGGTTTTTGTTATATTACATAGTAGTAAACTATTCAAGGGAAAGGGTAGGAGAACACCAGTCATGGGGATAACCATGGTTTTTTGGTGGTAATGTCATTAAATTGTAGCTTATGTGAAACGTTGGTACTTTCAACACAGCGCCCTCTGTTAGAATTGTGACTATCAAATAATTAACAAATAAGTTGCAATAAAATAATTTTTCGGGTATAAATTGAGATGTAAGCTATCCTATCTTTTAAGTTAGACCAAACCGCACACGGTGTGCAAATTTGATTGAAATCGGTTCAGTAGTTTAGGAGTCCATAGCGGACAAACAACGTGACACGTAATTTATATATATTAAGATAAAAATAAATCAGTGGCGCTACAACCTCTTTTAGATCTGGGCCTCAGATTTCTGTATCTGTTTCATGATCATTTGTTAATCTAATAGACAAGTAGGTGATCAGTCTCCTGCACCTGACACACCCCGTCGACTTTTTGGGTCTAAGACATGTCGGTTTCCTCATGATATCTTCCTTAACCGTTCGAACAAATGTTAAATGCGCACATAAAAAGAAAGTCCATTGGTGCACAGCCGGGGATCGAACCTACGACCATGAGAGTCGCACGCAAGCCACTGCTCACTGCTAGTTTTTCATTTTATAATTAGTATTCATTAATTAATTTGATTTAATTATATATGTATAATATGAAATCGAGTTTTAGTGTGAAAATCAAACTCACTTTCATAGGAATACCAGTGACCGTGGTTATAGCGAGTCTATAGTGTGGAAGAACGAGTTTTCCTAATAAATTGGCTAACGTGCTCGCTCTACACACAATTACTTCAACGCCCATTATACCGCCACCCATCTGGAATTATTAAAACATATCTTATATAAAATAAAGAAAGTAAATTCTCGACATAAGCAAGATTAAAAAAATAGAGGTACCTCTGTAAGCGGCTGATTATTGACTCTTGTCTCAGCTTTTTCAGGTGTAACATTAATTATAACTAAGTGGCAATAATGTACTACCAAAGACCTGTAAATAGAAACATTATATATATTTTTATGGAGAATAAAAAACACATATTTACTTAAAGGAAACAATGTTATAATGTTCATCACGGTACAGATTAAGCGTCGATGAAGTTTAGATCGCCAAGGAGATTCTATTATTTTTTTCTGTAGTCTATGGCAAATAACTTTTATCCTTACTTATGACACCCGCTCTGTGCGTTTCTACTTACTTATTCGGTTCAATTCCGTTTTATAAAATTGGATAAAAAAGCATATGACTCTGCCTCCAGGTCCTTCAAAGCTGGAAGCTGGATTTCGATCAGACATCCGATTCCCTATCACTCTGATCCGTTCATCTATAGTCCAATACACCTATAAACTCCTTGTTCTCCAAAATAATGGAAACCATTATAAACGGCCAGCCCTGAGGTATCTATCAGCTGCTTAGCGATTGTGGGTACGGTTTTTTATTTCAGTTAAAGTATTCACTTTTTCTGGGTTATTTTTGACATTCATAAATTATTGTTTTTTCATCACAATTTTAGAAAAGCAATGATCTTGATTGTTTTATTGTATGATATATGTCAGGACATTTTAATATTTTAGATAAAAAATAATAATAACTGTCATAATTAAATGCTACCTTCTAAAAAAACATTAACTATTTTCTCCTGAATATATGAAAGGATAAAGTATTTAAAGTTAGATATTTTTTATTTATTTTACCTATTTATTTGCTGACTTACTGTGTGCTTGTAGATGCATCAGTAGTGGTAGGTGGTTGAGCAACCGATGCCTTCTTATTTTGTTGTACCAGGGTATTCATGGCAATTTCTGCTAAACTTCTTATAGAATCATCATCCCTTGCACTTGTTATACATATTATGCGACCACTATAATTGTTATATAATTAATTAATAGATTAACATGACAAGTCATATAGGCTAAGAAATATAAGGGCTATTATAAATCCTATTAGTTATAATGAGTAGCAATTATTTTCACTCTGAAGGGTTTCACTAGGTTAGGTGTCTAAATAAGACAAGCAAGTATCCATTTTCCAAGCACAGTTCTGTCTCTTCAAATTTTATATTGAGCTCAATATAAACACATTTTAACAAAAATAAACGAATAAGTGTTATATTTTAAACTTATAAAGACTGAGTTTTTTTTATGAATATAAAAAATAACTCAGTGAAAATCACACAAAATCATATAAATGATATTACTTTAGAGTACTTTCCAGATAAATTCACAATCAAGCGACTTAGTTTGGTGTGACAAATGTAGTTCCTTTAACACATTTTTTATCTTTTAAAATATATAACTGTTACCGATTCTGAAAGAGTCTTTCAGTGGATGGTCGTGAGGATTGTATAGGTGAGGCCTCGGCCAGTGACTCAATAGCTGCACATAATCCCACCACATCGCCACCAGCACCTCTTCTCACTGGTCCCACTAAGCATAGACCATTTAAAATCTACAAAAAAAGTTAATAATGGAAGTAACAATTATTGGAATTTTACTATAGAACTCAATTTATTGAAATAATCACATAAATCTCTATGCAAAAGAGATTAATACTTTCTCACATTATTTGTTTAACAATATAGTTGAAATATACCACTTCCTTGTTTCTTATGCATTTCTCTAACTTTGTAGACATCCATACTTACATGAGTTAAATTTTGCTGAGCTAGTGCCCAAGTATTAAGGATGTGAGCGGCTGCATCGCTTACAATGAATCTCACCTGGAAGTAATAAATATGATTATTAAAAGGCCTAAAGTTTAATATATATAAAACAAATATACAAGCGACAAACCAATTTTCCTTCGGGAAATAAATCCCACACGATTCGACAGTATTCCACGGAAGCTTCAACGCTGCAAGTCCACAAAGATTTGCAAATTGCCGGTAAGGGTACATATCCAGCGCCCCGGCTTTTAGAAACATCGAAGTCAATAGGGAAATCAGATGAAATCCCAAAATATGGAGTATGATCTAGCACAAATATTGTTTTATGATTTGTAGGTAACATTTTAATTTTTTTTGTAAAATGCTCTACATAATAAAAGTCTGCGAGGTTTAAATACAATTTGACGTTTCATAAAATTAATGTTGTGCGGTGTTATAGAAAATTTTATAATTTTGTAAACAAAGCGGCAAGAACATTTAGTAGTTTAGATAGTTGACGTATCCTCAAATGTCATGTATTTTTTTTCCATTTCTTGGCCTGCACGGTTTGTGCATCAGCCATAAACACGTCTCTATAGTTCAGGCACTTTGTTAAAAATTCTTGACCCATGTATAATTTTGATAATATAATAATAATAATAAGATAATAAGAGACCCAAAAGATGAAGCCCACGGCTAGGGATGTGAAAAAATAATCGATTATTAAAAAAATCGATTTTTTTTACGCGATTTTTATATTTAAAATAATCGATTAATAATCGATTACTTTTTATAATTGAAAATCAATCATAGTCGATTTTTTATCTGCCACCTCCCGACATTATGTCTGGTCTTTTATAACCCGGACCTCGAACTATTAGGGATATTCGATATACATCGATGTTTACAATGTGATACATTGAATCCGATTCTTTGAAGATGTATTGATATACTCGATGCATTGATGTTTTTTTGTAAAACATGAAATGGAATGGAACACTATAATTTAAAAGTAAAATAAATTTATTCAGCAGCACAAGATTACATACAATTAAAAAGACAACAAAAATACTGCAATGTGCTTCTGAAGAGGCATACACTCAGCATTTATCAAATTTCACCTAAAATCTATCAAAACGAGATTAAGTTTATTTCGATTTTGATTATTCTTAAACGTTAATTTGTGTTTATAATTTCTATTGTTTATTTATAATTAAAAAAACATGAAAAATAAAATATTTAGGGTGATTATTTTGAAATTAGTTCAAAAATTAGGAAAAAATCGAGTAATAAAAAATCTATTTTTTATGCAGAATGTCACATCCCTACTCACGGCAGGCTTGAGACGAAGTCAGTCACTTTTCGACAGACGTGTCACGTGACCATCTAATGGCGAAATTGTATGAGAATGATATTAGCTCAATATGCTTTGCACATGACCATTTTCATACGTAAATTGGTTTGGCGTTAGTGAATCACGCCCGTCGAAAAATGATTTTGTCTTTGATTGATTTAGTTTGATTGTAATGTTGTAATATTCAGTATTTTCTGTTCAATATCGTCAAAACTCACACGTACCGTGATTAATGAATGATGAATATCAACGGTATTTCGTAGAAATATTTTTATAATTTATGGCTAAAACCTACATTACTGAAAAATATATCTTAAGCATAAGCCCAAAGGTTTCCATTATTAATTTACTTCCTAATTTAACAAATTATTATTGTAATGCATACCTACATAGTTGCATTACAACAACAACGAAGAGATACATAAATCAGCTAATAATATATAGCGAGGTAAGACGATATGAAGTGAGACCAGGCAAGAAAGGGGCGAGAGTATCTCAGTACTCACTCCATAATATGTTATATAGGATATCTTGCCGAGTATGTTCAGCTGACATAATCTCCAATTAACTTTAAATTTTAATGTCATCGAATAATTAATTTGTATACTTTCATTATGATAACATTCACTTTACGGTGAACACAGAATTAGTGACCAATTTATGTTCCACAGTCAATAAAGATAAATTTATGTCGTATTTTTTAATATTTGAAAGAATAAACACGTATACTCAAATAATTATGATTTAATTAAGTTTTAGCAAGCTCTTTTATTAAAATTTGTATTTAAATATGAACAACCGATAACAGAAACCGTTAATTTGCCCTATCTATATTTTGGCACAACACTACAGTGAATGTGAGAGAATGATAAAATGGTGCATTCGTCGATCAAACCGGGCCACACATTTGAAGCTGGAAATTAAATTAGACATCCACCATTTTGTTTATTTTCACGAAACCACTTCTATGTGTATTGTACGACTGTCGAATTTTTTTATTCATTGTGAGCTAACGTGAACAAGTTAATCTAGCAATGCTTATTAAATTAGGAATGTGCTATTAGCATACTGCCATCGAGCCCTTGTGTTGAAAATTGCAGACATCGGCCGCGCCGCTAGTAAACACTCTTTGAAAATTAACATCTTGCCTTCAAAGAAAAATAAAAATTCGGATGCGCAAAGTGCTCGTGTCGATGAGAAAGGTTCATTGAAGTACGTTCATCGAATTTTTCATAAGTCTAAAGGGAACGATCCCCGAGTGTTAAAGGTAGGTGAAGTCGCAATTTATGTGCGCGAAAACTACCTATGGGCTGTTTAACATAGTGAGGATTTTATTTAGGCAATACCGAAGAGTTGTGGGCGAGAATCCCCGTTGGCGCGCCCGGCTAACATGAATCACACGTCTGCACCCGACAGGCAGCAGCACGACCCTAATGTGAAGGTTGAAGAGATGGAAACACAAGAAGGTCAGTCACCTATAATTAATTTTCTCACAAACAGAAATTCACTTGACATTACCAACACTGGGTTACCTTGATCAAATCATATGATTGTCAGTGTTTATAGTTCTGTCCTGTGGATTATATTTTGTTTAATTTTTTACAAGGTGAGAAATAGTGTGGATACAATCACTTTTGTTATTGATTATTTCAAATCTTTACATAACCTCAATATAATATTGGTCAGATATTTAAATGACATAGTTTTCGTGTTTTACTCTACTAAGAAGAGTGTGTTAGTGGGTGGTGTAATATTCAGTATTATATCTAAACTAAAAAAGTGCAAGGTGTTGTAGTCTATAATTAGAATCCTTTGTTTGGTGGTATTTTTTTATTATAATACAATTATTGCATTTGTTTACACTAACTTAGATGATAAAAATTCAAAATATGATATGTAGACATTTTGATTGCCTAGATTCTTTGAAAGGATTATTGGATAAGGTGGTGAGAAGTGGCTGTAGGAGCTGGATAGTATACAATACTAAATTTGTACATAATGGTATCATGACATGAAGATTTTGTAGTTTGTTTATGCTAGTACATACCTACAGCAGTGCTATAGGTGTTAAAAATTATTTAATAATAAGGGTTATTATTTTAAAATTTTATTTACTTTGCAAAAGCTTAATCTCCATACTAACTTCTAATAAAACAATTTCACAAGTTTTAAGTTTGATAAGCTTTTACTTATAGATTGATTTGACAAAAGTGAAGAATTTTGTAATTTTAACAAGAATGATGACTCATATAAAATTATATCAATTAGTGCAGTGTTTTCTGCAACTATTGATTTTACCAATACCTTACAAGAATTGCATACATTCATTAGTTTTATAAATTTAAATAACCTAGACATGGTCCTGCCATTTTGGCCTCAATACATTTACATTATTTTGATTACATGATATTGATAGAGAGTAAGAACTTGGGTTTTTAATGTATAGTAAGATTCCAACAAAGAAATTCTTTATACAATGTTTTTTAATCTTGAAGTTTAGTTTTATCTATAGTTCCTAAATTACTGAAAACATGAATAGATGTTGAAGGATTCATTTTATTTTATTTTATTAATGGCCATGTATGTTGTTATTACTGTCATATGAATCTTGCCAAAATCCATGTGTCACAATTAGTGATTGCTCAGTGAAATAATAAGTAAATATTTAATATTTATTTTGCTTTAAGATTTCATCATGGTTCTTAAATATTTTATTCTAAATTACAGTGGAGACTGTAGAAACTGCTACTGAAAAGACTTGGGAAAAAACTTGGGAAGACGATTTAATGAGAGGCCGTATTACCCCCAATGGAGGTGTGGTGATGTCTGATGTTATGAAGAATCAAGAGACTTCTGAAATGCCTGTAAATATGAAACTTTGTTTATGATCATGATTGTAATCTATTACACAAACATAATAGTTTTAAATAATAATATAAATAATTTTGTTTTTTAATTAGCAACTGGCATGTGTTGATGCTGAAATGGAAGATGACGAAGCAAGATCAGAAGCAACATTTCGCTTCACAGTACATAACTTTAAAACTATCAAGGATTCAGTGTTATCGCCACCCTGCTATGTTCGTAATCTGCCATGGAAGATAATGGTAATGCCAAGACAGGCTCCATCGCCTGATAAACAACAACAGAAGTCCCTTGGATTCTTCTTGCAGTGTAATGGAGAGAGTGAGTCATCTAGCTGGTCTTGCTTTGCTATGGCTGAGTTAAGGCTCATCTCTCACAAACCTGACACTGAACCTTTTCATAGAAAGATCCAGCATTTATTTTATAGGTTAGTTATACATTTATTTTATATATTGCTGTATAATAATACGAAATAATCTAAAAACAGGGAAATTAAACGAATAAGTAGTTTAAAACATTAGAGTTGCATTATTTCATAGGAATCTTTGAAAGCAATCAGAGTCATAATTACATTTTTGGTTTTAAATAATGAAACATTAATTTGCCAGCTAATTTTATAAAATATAAGCATTTATATTTCCAAATAGTTTAGTTTCAATAAAGTGCTGAAAGCTGATCATACTTTTTACATGTAAAGCTCAAATGAACAAAAGCCAAAACATTATTATGTATCTAATCTATGGTGAATTGTTGGTGAAACAAAATAAAGCTAATATATACCAGAAAGAAAAGTAATGATATAGACCATCAGTATTTATGTCTTTCTTCAGTACCATAAAATTAAATTATTAATGTAACAACAAATATTTCAGTAAAGAGAATGATTGGGGATTCTCTCACTTCATGTCTTGGAATGATGTCTTAGATGGCGAAAAAGGCTATATTAAGGATGATACAATTACTTTAGAGGTCCATGTCAGTGCTGAGGCACCACATGGTGTCTCTTGGGACTCAAAGAAACACACTGGATATGTTGGTAAGATCTAGTATTTTAAAATATATTTTTCTGAGTTCAGTTGTATAAACTGATGAACTTAATTTAAAAAGATATCTGGATAAAAACACGTTTAGTTTTGTTAGATTGAACATTAATGTACTGAATGTGAGTGTTTCTTTTACAAAGAGTAAAACCTACGAATTTTGAAATTTTACCATAAAAGTGTTTTTGTTTCAATATATTGAAAAAAGCATAATGGATTTTATTGTATTAGGGAGCGTTCAAGTATTACGTAACGAATTTTGGGAGGGGGGGTTGTCTTTTTGTAAAACGTTACGATGCGGGGCAGGGATTGAATTACGCGTTATTGTTAATATTATTTTCGACTTTCCAGTACTTTACACCACATAATGGTAACTTTTAGGTATATAAAGAGTCACTGGGTGGTCACGAAATGTTTTACTATTGGGTACAGAAAAACGTTACGGCGCGTAACATGGGGGGGTTATACAATCATCTCCAAATTTTTTATCAGGTTATTGAACATATGTGAAGAAAACATTATTTCTAGGGTAGAATAATAATATAATGAGCAATAACTAATTTCAGGATTGAAAAATCAAGGTGCGACCTGCTATATGAACTCACTGTTACAAACGCTTTACTTTACTAACCAATTGCGAAAAGCTGTTTACAAAATGCCAACAGAGTCTGATGATAGTACTAGGTATCTATTAGAAATTGGTTTTTTATGTATTTAAATAAGATAATGCATGTAATTATTTAGAAGATTTTCAAGAATTTGTACTTGTTACAAACAAGCTTTAGTATTGAAGACTTTAAGTGATAGTCCTAAATGTTAATGCAATGCAATGTTATGCACTTTATACAGCCCTACGTATTATTACGGACTGCTGTGAAACCAATATGTCATGGGTAAGATTTCTTTAAAAAAAATGAAACCCTTGTCTATATTGTATTTAGTTAGTTTTTAAGTGTTTTTTTTAATAATTTGGGTAAGATCAGTTTTTGAGTCTTACAGTATGATACAATATGTTTGGAGCTCTAGAAACAAAATATAAATAAGTATTTGTAGGATTAGTATTTCAGGAAGTTTTTATAATTTTCAGGTCTGTGGCATTAGCCCTCCAGCGAGTTTTCTATGAGCTGCAATTCTCTGATAAACCAGTTGGAACCAAGAAGCTGACAAAGAGCTTTGGCTGGGAGACACTTGATTCTTTTATGCAGCATGATGTACAGGAATTCTTGAGGGTAATTTAACAGTTTATTATTTCCAATTTTTAGATAATCTTTTGCAAGTCATCCTCTATAATGTTACTCTGTAGAGAGCCGGTGTTTACTTGTTATGTAAAATCATATCCAATACGTGTCGGAGTAATCCGTTTAGAACCGTTTTTCGAGTAGTAGAATATATAATTTTTTTTAAATAATATTTTTCAATTTCGTGACGTCCACCAGTGCCGAATTCGCGCTTTGACCAGTGTACTCAGTGCAAACGCATCAGAACATTTTGGCCATTGTCAGCTGTGACCCCAATTAGATTGCGTAAATTGTAAACAGCTAAGTCTTGTTACACAATATAAAAGTAAATAATATGAATACTTAAATCAGTGATTCACCAAGTAGCCTAATAATAATAATACCTTGACAACCGAAAAAGAGTTGAATTACGAACAAACTTAGAAAATATTGTCCAAAATCTACAACAGAAGATCAATACACAATAAACTTTTACCAATACACAGATGAGGAAGATTAATAGAGAAACGGTGTGGATACTGTAAAATCCAAGAAGGAAAGAGAGCTAATCTCACCTAATAGAAGAAAAATCCAATGAGACTATAAAATAGAGTTTTTCTATGAGAAATGCATATGATCTGAAAAAATCAGAATGTGTGAGGAGGATTTTGTGTGTTATTCCATTTTAAGATTAATTATAATATATGAGATTTTTTTAAAGGCAGATTGGATCTTAATTCACATAAACTTGACATTTGTTTGAAGTTTGTATTAATTTAAGCAATCAATATTCCTTAAAGTAAAATTAATTTCAGGTATTACTAGACAAGCTGGAAAGCAAAATGAAGGGTACATGCGTAGAGGGCACAGTGCCAAGATTGTTTGAGGGTAAAATGAGCTCATACATTAAATGCAAGAATGTCAATGTGTCCAGTACAAGAGTTGAGACCTTCTACGACATTCAGTTGAATATCAAGGGGAAAAAGAACAGTGAGTTTGAATATTTTTTTTTAGAATATAAATATTATCTGTTTTTGGTACTCAGGTGACGGATTTCATAATACTTATCATGGTATAGCCAAAAATTATATTGTTTTTATTTGTAATATTAAGTTGTCCGACATTTTATTGATATCGCATGCCTTTGTAAAAGGGCCTTTACGATACTATAAAAAAGTTTTTAGAGTGATTAAGGTTAATACTAATGTCATACATACACAGACTCACATACACACACTTACACGTAATAATAATTGTTTATTCTCCCTTAATTTTTCTCTACTTTTTAAGACCTTCTGTCGATCCGAAGTGCTGGAGGCCTGATGATCTGTAACGCAGATATTCTTATTCATGTAAGTCTCATTCATGTCAGTCTCACATTCATGTCAAACAAGCATTTTCTCTCAATAGAAAAAAAACAATTATTTATTTATAATAATAAATATCTGTAATTATATATATTATATTATTAATATTTTTAAATGTTGCTTTAATTTACCAACATAATGTTTCAAGGTAAACACCAATATGTATGGTATAGAAATTACAATTATCTTAAACTTGCAGTTTACGAATCATTCAAAGATTACATAAACACGGAGACGCTGGATGGTGAGAATAAGTATGATGCTGGAGAGCATGGGCTTCAGGAGGCAGAGAAGGGGGTGATATTCGCGACTTTCCCCCCCGTGCTGCATTTACACCTGATGAGGTTCCAATATGACCCCATCACTGACAGCTCTGTCAAGTTTAACGACAGGTATGTGTCAAATTGATTTCAATGAAACCTAAAGATTTGTACAATGGTAAATGTAATTTTTGTATTATTTTTTATTTATTGAGTAAAAAAGTATAGTACACTGACAGGTGTCTATGGATTACCGATGGGGACCGTTCAAGTAGTACTTAAACAGATTTACTGCAATTAATCCCCCCTCTTGTCGGCAAAAGCTAGCAAAGCTTTCAAAAATAATAGTACATAAACATATTAATCCTCTAAAATGCATTTCGTTTTTAAGCATAGACAATGTATGGGTAATATGTGTAAAAAAGTAAATAATTACTGTTAACGAAATCACCAAATAAGAAAATCAAAGAAAACCCCTTTAGTGCTAACGTAATACTAGAAAGACCCCATAACTGTATAATATGTATATTTTATACTATACTATATATTATATGTTGATAATATAAAACTAGGGTGTGGCTTAACATGTTTTTTTTCTAAGTCAGCTTGTTTAATTTCAGTTTAGTTAAATTAAATGAGTCGTCCTTTGGCAGTATTTAAATCACTATTTCATTATAGGTTTGAATTCTACGACCACATCAACTTAGATGCATACCTACAAGAGAAGCCCGAAACACCAGCTGATTACACCCTACACGCAGTATTGGTACATTCAGGAGACAATCACGGGGGACACTATGTTGTCTTTATCAATCCCAAAGGAGATGGCAAGGTATACATGTAATATAAACCTTTCAAAGCATTACTATGAATTAATTGCACAAATGTTAAATATTTTAATATTAATAGTACTATTTAGGAAAGTCCTACTTATAAATAGTAATCTTGTTTATGAAAATGCTTGCAAAGTTGAGAAGGCTATGCCGATATACACTCAAGTCTTGGATAGCACTATACAGTCGTAGAATAGTGACGGATCTCACATATAGTAAACTTTACACTAATCATTTCTTAACCTTATCCTATCCTGATCAATCGTGACTTGTATAATTCTTATGTTTCCTTTTGCATCACTATTGCTGTTCATGAATTTGTAAGATTAGCTTTAAAGTTTTTAGTCTGTTATTAATATTTTCTTTTGTATTACTTTAGATTAAGGTTCTATATATATATATTTTTATATAACATTTGGTTCTGCACTTCTCGCACGTATCAAGTTTCTTTTTTTTTTAGTTTTTCTCTTTAACTAGGGTTGCCAGGAAGAGATCGCTTATTAGCGATAAGGCCGCCCGTTGCATGCCTTATAATTTTAATGTATTGTTTTTCTTTTATTTGCAACGAAGTGTAAATAAATAAATACAGGGTAGCCATTTCAAATATAGTCATGTTAGTTTTTGTCTTAACTATTTTAATTCATATTCTGTTATTATGAAAATTGGCTTACAAGCAAACAAAAGGGGTTGTTTTGAAACCAAATAAAAATAATTACATTCAATTACACAGTTTTCTAGAAAAATGCTTCTATGAGCGTCTGTCAAATCCGTCACTTTACCGACTGTATGTTATCACTTTGAAATTTTGAATGGATTTTTTTTAATGTAAGAATATGATAAATATGATAAAATGTGGATTTTGGTTTTTTTTCAAATCTGACATTGTTCTACGATCATGACAATTAGATTTAAGGTATAGCCAAGCAAGTGAAATTAATTCTTTAAGATTAATTTAAGTTATAGTAGGCCAGTATTTGATAATTTTGATATATATATCTATCGCTCTGATTATTCAAGATTTTGTGAAAACTTCAGCAAAGTATGACTAAGTCTAAGTGTTTGACCTGTTTGAGTGTTTTTAACTCTATGTCTTGACTCTTAATCTTATACTAAGCGCTGAGTTTATAAAAAATGTACTGGATTTTGACACAAGGGAGGCATTATGAGTGCTAAGTCTTCATTAATCTTATTTCCTCCCTAAGATAAAGATATTTTTCTAGAAAAGAGACATCTCTGATAAGAATCAAAAAATTTAATGAGTGTAAATGTTAATAGAAATATGTTTTTAGTGGTGCAAATTCGATGACGACGTGGTATCTCGATGCACGAAGCAAGAGGCAATCGAATACAATTACGGTGGTCATGATGAGGACATGGCCCTAACCGTACGACACTGCACTAATGCCTACATGTTGGTGTATATTCGGTGAGTGTTATGTTGTTCTGAAAGCGTTTTTGATGTGAAACATCTATAGCCGCAAGTAAAACCGATTTCTGGCGTGGCGACGCATGCCGTGGCGACGCGTCGTCACGCTATATGATGGTATATATATTATACAGTCTATATGCAGTAGTGTGTACGGTGTGTGTATTTCGAAGTGACTGATTAAACGAATTAAGTAGTCACGATTTGAAATAAATTCGTAAATTTTTGTATTTAATGAAAATAAATGTTTATTCAGTAAATAGTCATCGTTATTTGGAAAAATAATCGTAATATTTTATTTTATTATTATGAAATATTTAGTTCCCATCACAATCAGTTGTTTTCTGCTTTTCATATTACTTTTACAAAATAATGTCGATGTTTCACATCTGCCAGGCGTCCCGTGACGGCTCACATTTTTTTATTAAAAGTATTTTTTTCCTTCTATGCCTATCCCTATAGCAATACTGTTTCGCTTGTAAAATTGCAATGTGCGTTAATTATGCTATGGAGGTTGGTAACTACAGGTTTGAATTTAGTAATGGATAAATGTCGCATATTGGATAATTCATTTCATGAGAAATGCTAAAAGCTATAAAATTCGCTGCGATTAACATGGCTAAAACTGCGATACTGAAAAGTTGGAAGTAAAAAGTGACCCTTATACAAAATCCAAATAAAATGGTGTCCTGTCAATCTTGTTAATTTACTGGTTCTGACACTGTCATTTTATTACAGTGATTCACAATTAAAGACAGTGCTCCAAGAAGTTACACAGGCTGATATTCCTACTGAACTCAGCGAAAGATTAGCCGAAGAAAAGAGAATTGAAACTGTAAGTATTTGTCTAATAATTATTAAAAAAAAAAAACTTTTATAAGTCTTGGCTTCATTTTTGCATATATTTCATGAATCATTATCGGTAATTATATCAGCCTAATGTGGCTGACAAACGACTTGACACTATACTCTATGATTACATTTAACAGATTCGCCGTAAAGAGCGCAACGAGGCCCATCTCTATATGAACGTGAATGTGGTACTGGAAGATGAGTTCGATGGTCACCAGGGAAACGACCTCTATGATCCCGAAAGGGCTCACTTCAGGGTGTTCCGAGTAAGGAAGCAGGCGACCGTCGCAGAACTTATGGAGACTTTGGCGGAGAACTTCCGCTACCCACAGAAACATTTGCGCCCTTGGCCGTTTAGCGCCCGTTCTAACCAGGTAAGGAGAGGGTTTGGTTCAAAAAATTTCAAATTTTAATGTTGTTATATAATAATGGTGTGAACTTCTGGAATGAGTTTATGAGTTGGATGAAGTCTGTTAATTATGGTTTATATAAATTTGATTTTTTATTATTAGGTATTACATTATTAATAAGTTAAAAATGTTAGTCAAATATTGATTATTAAATAATCCGTTTCTGAACACTTCTTAAGTTATTAATTTATTTATAGAATCTTGCCAACGGTCGGCACGCTGATACATTGGTACAAGAAAAATAAAATAAAATGTAATGTGACAAGTCCAAGTGGTACTTGTGAAGAGATAATAAAAATTAAACAAAACAATTAAATTAATAATTAAAAATATACAACCTTCACTTTTATGGCTTAATCCTTTTTATAAATTGACTTTACCGACTTTGATGACGACTCATTGGTCTAGTGGTTAGTACCCCTGACTGCGAATCCATGGGTCCCGGGTTCGATCCCCGGCTGAGACGAACATCGATGTGATGAGCATTTGGTGTTGTGCTTAGGTCTTGGGTGTTCAAATATGTATTTATATGTCTATCTATCTATAATATGTATGTATATCCGTTGCCTAGTACCCATAACACAAGCTTCACCAGCTTAGCATGGGACTAGGTCAATTGGTGTGAATTGTCTTAAAAAAAAAAAAAAGTTATGGTTTCGTGTTCTTAAAAGATTATTTGCTTATCTGCAGCATTTAAAAAAACATCTCAACAAAGTATGTTATATAGTCCATTACTTGTACTTGACCAGTTTTATATGCGTGAATATATATTAAACCAAATTTCGTATAAAAACCGATTCGCTTATTACTGAAACATCTACTCTTACAGACGTGCAGACCGACATGCCTGGACGTAATCAACGACCAGAACAAGACAATAGCAGATATATCGGAGAACATTAATCCATGGAATATCTTCCTCGAAATGCTCGCTCCGGATTCTGGCTTCGCCACATTACCCCCCTTCGATAAGGACAATGACGTAGTGTTGTTCTTCAAGTATTACGACCCGAAGCAGAAGCGGATCCATTATTGCGGACATCATTACTTGCCTATCGCAAGCAAACCGGCTGATCTCATACCAATACTCAATAAGAGAGCAGGTAAGATTTATGGGTCGCTGACAAAAGTATTTGGTAGCGTGTGATTTCGTACGTAAATGGTAATATGACGTCACTATAGTCGACTCATGTAACTGAGTCGTCGGGCAATAAATGTCACTGACAATAGGAATGTGCACGCAATGCAACCCGTTATCGATACTTAGCTGCGCACACGGCACGGGGTCGATGCGTCATCGTGACTCTATCGTGATCTATAAAGTTTCTCTATGGTTACGTCGAAACAAACATTTTATCTTACAAATTAAAAACTTTTATTTTTAGATAGCGAAAAATTATTCCTATTAACAAAATTTCGCATATCGATCGCACCTATCCCGTTATCGATATGTTAAGACCTGTAAGTGCGAGCGAGACAGACAGATAAATATGATTTATGACCCGAAGCCTCAATTCATAATGCGTTGACTATATTTATCTACATTAAATATTTAATATAGCATTAACGCCGTAAAACATTTATTGATTTTGAAAAACAATCCTGTCCTAACTCACAAGTCACCTGACCCTAAATCGACAAGAATGCACAACAAAAAAAAAAAAAAATTGTGCGTGTACTTATGTACGCGCGTAAGAAATTATACTTCTTTGGCTTTCTTTATTTTTTTAAATATTAAATAATTAATAATAAATATTTAACAATTTAATAATTTAACAATGTTTAATATTTAGTATATTATTCAATTATTAATTAATATTAATAATAATTATTATATATTATATTATTAATTCAATTTAATCACTAGGTATGTTTCATAACCTTTTACCTAAGTAACAATAGGTCTTTGTGAAAAAGCATTGCTAAATTTCTTTGAAAAATTAATTAAAACTCCTTTATTTGTTTAAAAGGTACTACAAATGTCATTATGGTCATTCAAAATTCTTGGCATAGCTGCTAACGTCACGCATATTCTATTTCTTTTTACTTGTAGATTGTCTTATTTCCATCTCGCTCGCGCACGCTCGGCGCCCATACTGATAATTTTGTGTCACGGTGCGCGCGCATCGTAAAATTTCACTCTCATAAATTTTTCATAACGCGCCTAAAGAAGTATAACTTCAAAAATTACACACGAAACAAAAAACAAATATAATTAGGAAAACAAACTTAAGTGACACTGAATCATATAGACAGTCCCTGAACTGTAAATATATGAGTTCATAGTCACATTGCCCTAATGGGGCTCGGGGACGGGCCATTTTTTCACAAAAATGTATAGCTGCAAGGGTGTGGCTGGTAGAGTCAGCCAGAATTTACGGCTAGACTATGCAATACTTGGTAATATTTTTAGTATTTATTTTGCCAAATATTTTTATTGTCCGATGAATGTTTAGTGTCCCAGCCGGATGGCCGGAAGGATCGCTTTGCATTCGAAAATACTGCAATATTTCTCAGCCATATTATTGCTATCTCCCTTTACGGCCTAAATGCGTCCCTTTTTCATGCTACGTGAAGTTTGCCACGATTCGTTGGACTAGTGCTATGTTCGTTTGTGTTTGTTTCTGTTTTTTTTTTCAGTTAATTTCTGTCATATTGAAACCCATTCAAGTTGGAAATAGCAGGAAAATATCCTCTCGAGTTCTGTGTATCTAGTGAGAATTTGTAGAAATACCTAATTTTTTTTTTTAACTTCCTAAAAAATTTAAGTTATAACTTTGACGTTGATTAATCCAACCGTATTAGCTGTTTTAGATATCATTATGAATTTATTTATTTACAGGTTTCCCTCCAGACACACCCCTAGTTTTGTATGAAGAAATTAAACCTGACTTTGTGGAGAAAATCAACAATTACAACGACCCTCTCGAAAAGGTATTATTTTTCAGTTTTTCCCTGTCAGACCCTTTTTAGACGTAAGGTACAAATAATTAAAGTTTTAAATTTAATTGAGAGCGTGTTTTGAGTACAGCTCTGATAACGAATTACTTATTTCGTTGCGAGTAAAATATTTATTATTGATTGTAATTCAATTATTAGTACATTAATTATGAATTAGTTTTTTTTAATAATAATCTACAAGCTGCTAGATGGTTGAGGTATGGTATTGCATTTATTTTAAATAAGTATTTTAATTAAATGTGGTTGCAGTATTAAGTAGTCAGTAGAATCATTAAAATCCCCTTAGAAAGGCGAATTACCCTTAAAATTCTTAATTAATTATATACCTTAAATTAAATCTATTTTTTGTGGGATTAGGAGATAGTCATTGTGGAGTTGTAGGTTCAAATTCCAAAAAATAATTGGTGGGCTCAGAAGGCACGAATGTGTCCGGCCCATGGCCCATCGGGGTCACGGTAACATGGCACACACATGGCTCAATTATTGTTTCGCGTTCGTACAAATGTCTCTGCCCCATCGTGGGGCGGGGCCATGTGGTAATAAGCGCCACGAGCGGGTCGGGCTCGCCCTACCCGCTCGGGTTGAGTCGTGTGCACGCGGCCAGGTATTGGACGAGCTGATGGACGGCGACATCATCGTGTTCGAGCGAGCGGACAGCCGCCACGAGGAGCTGGAGCTGCCCACCTGCCAGGACTACTTCAAGTACATCTTCTACAAGGTGGAGGTGCAGTTCGTGGACAAGACGGTGCCCAACGATCCCGGGTGAGTGACGTCATCGTCAACTATCTATATCTATAATGTGTAGGTATATACCCATAACGTCATATATAATCATTTGTAACCGTATTTGATGAAACGTGGACTGTAAGTTGAAATATATCTGATTTAAATTAACTTTATATGACTTTGTATTGGTTTTTGAAAATGTTATAGACAAACATGCATAAATATATGTAATATAGTACACGGGCTAGATTATCTAAATCAAATCAAAATTAATGCAAAGAATTGTGCACGCACTTTATAGTGAGAACAAAACACAAAATAAATAAGATCTACTAAACTGATGTGTATGAATTTCAGATTCACTATGGAGCTGTCGATGCAAATGCGGTATGACCAAATGGCCCGCGCTGTGGGACAGCGTCTCAACGTTGATCCCTACCTAATACAGTTCTTCAAGTGCCAAAAGTAATTATTTATAATAATTTTAATTATTAATTTGCAACGCTTTAACCGAATTAAATTTTAAGCTAAAATTAAATAACGCATTTTAAAATTTATATATTTCGTTTAAACCGAATTGTCTGATTGAACAACTGCTATATACAAAATACCAGGTGTAATTCCCACGTCGAAGAATTTTTCTGTTGAACGAACGCTCCCTGCGTTCAAGTATTACGTACGTAACGAATGTTGGAGAGGGAGGGGGGGGGGTCTTTTTGTAAAACGTTACGATGCGAGGCGTGGATTGAATTACGCGTTTTTGTTAATATTATTTTCGACTTTCCAGTACTTTACACCACATAATGGTAACTTTTAGGTCACGAAACGTTATACTATACTTGGTTACAGTACTATACTTGGGTACAGAAAAACGATACGGCGCGTTACACGGGGGGCGGGGGGGAAGGGTCAATAATCTCCAAAAATTGCGTGACGTAATACTTGAACGCTCCCTTAAACATTTTATATAGACTGAATTTTTCTTAAAAAAATTTCAGTTACAAGGACACACCCGGTCTGCCCTTGCGGTACTCGTACGACGGAATATTGAAGGACTTGCTTGTCTACTGCAAACCAAAGTGCCCTAAGAAATTGTTCTACCAGATTTTATCTATTAAAGTGAACGAATTGGATAATAAGAAACAATTTAAATGTTTATGGGTAAGTAGTTTTAAACGTTTGCTTTATGCTTGCCAGACTGACTTTACTAACCTGGAATAAATATTTTGTTAGAAATCAAACCGTACCGCCGTACCTCTAATCACCGAGTACGTTTGCTATCAAGTTTTGAAATATATTTTTGCAACCGAAGAAAATTCTGTAAGGAATTCTGTCTAAAGTAGTTTACTTTATGTCCTTGGTCACCAATCATATAAATATTTAAAAAAAATAACAGACTTTAAGAAGGAGATTGCGTTGTATTGTATGTACGGCAGAAATCTATCTATATATAAAAATAATATTTTCGTTTCAGATTGGTCCTAATTATAAAGAAGATAAAGAATTAATTTTATATCCCAATAAAGGCGGTAAAGTCTCGGATATATTAGAAGAGGCAGCTAAGGTCGTAGAAATGTCACCGGAAGGATCTGGAAGGTATACTATTTGAATATAAAATTGTATGGTCATATCTGTATATGTGTAAATCATAGTGGAATATTGTAGAGAAAGGATAATTTTTGTCTGAGTAATGAATAAATAAATAAAATAATTATTTCCTTAAGAATGCTACATTATCCCTGAGTTAAATATTTATTTCCAAAACATTTTTAAAATTAAATGTTAGGTCGCTAGTGTATTATGGAAGTTGATTTTCTAGTATATTTTACTTAAAACGCACATAAGAATGTCTTTTATTTCCGAAGAAACAATATTTGTTCTGGAAGTATGCACAGAGGGCTTTTTGCATAAAAGGCTTGAACAGCTCCGTTAACCGATTTCGGATTAAGCGGAAGCATTTTTTGGTGTCTATACAACAATTTGTTTGGATTTAAAATCTGTGATTGCTGCCAGAAACTAATATTGCATAGATGTATGTGAAAATTGGACAATAATATTGTTGTGCTAATGGTACTGTGATTTGGTCCACAGTGTCTAATAGACACATTTGGTCAATATTGAAGATGATTTCTTTGTCCTAATAGATTACGAATCGTCGAAGTGTCGTGTCACAAGGTGTTGCCAGGGCCGGACCCTGAGCTAACATTGGACCAAGTGACAATGTCACCTCCCAGACTTTACCGGATAGAAGAGATCCCGCAGGATGAGCTGGATTTACAGGTATATATTTATATATTCATACATACAAATAGAAAACTATGGATAAGGGAGCGTTCAAGTATACACGCAATTTTTAGAGATTATTGACCCCCCCCATGTAACGCGCCGTAACGTTTTTCTGTAACCAAGTATAGTAAAACGTTTCGTGGCCACCTAGTGGCTCTTTATACCTAAAAGTTACCATTATGTGGTGTAAAGTACTGGAAAGTCGAAAATAATATTAACAATAACGCGTAACTCAATCCCCGCCTCGCATCGTAACGTTTTATAAAAGGACCCCCCAATTCGTTACATAATACTTGAACGCTCCCTAAACAGCTTCAGAAATATATCTTTTAATATTTTTTGTGTTTTTCATGTAATTAATATAAAATATATTTCAGGATGATGAAATGCTGGTCCCATGCGCGCATTTCTACAAGCAGGTGTACGCTACGTTTGGCATTCCGTTCTACACGCGCATCAAACACCACGAGCCCTTCCAAGCTGTCAAAGACCGCATGCAGAAGAAGCTGGACATACCCGACAAGGAGTGGGAGAAGGTAGAACTCTTTGTAGACGATGCAGGAGAGATATCTGCAAATATAAAATAAGTGGTGTAGATACTATTTAAAATTGATTAATTACCGCGATTATTATTAAAATATTACCCTCAGATTCGAAGTCTAGGCTTAGGGACTGTTCAAGTATTACGTAAGCAGATTTTCTGCAATTTATCCCCACCCCCTCCTCTTGTCAGCAAAAGTAAGCAAAGCTCTCAATAATAATAGTACATACCTAAACTTATTCATTTTTTGTAAGAATCCTCGAAAATGCATTTCGTTTTAAAGCATAGACAATGTGTGGGTAAGATGTGTAAAAAAGTAAATAATTACTGTTGATGTTATCACCAAATATGAAAAAAAAATCCCCTATATAGTCGTATTTTTAATTAGACGAAGTCAACTGACGTTTACGGGGTTTTCAGTTTTTAATTAAATAAAAAAAGTGAAAATGAAATAAAAATAAATAGTGTTGTGACAAAGTGAATGATTGAAAAAACTCCTGAATGAATGACCGGTGATGGCACTAGTGTCACCACGCCGTCAAAAAACTGATTGTAGTTACATAGTACTAGTACCTAACTTATATCAGAGCACTTTTATACAATTTTAAAATAGATATAATATTATTTTGTAGTTTGAAATGATTAACTACTGACACTCATTGTTCATTCATCTGATTGAACAAGAACTGAACGTATCACTATTACTTTAAATATGGCAACATTATTTTACAAAGTGACATTAGCTACTGTCAGTTGGCTTCGTCTAATTAAAAATACGACTATAGTGCTTACGTAATAGTTCAACGGCCCCTTAGGCATTTATTTCATTTACATCACATCAAAACCATCTAACAAATAATAATATAATATCAATTTATTTATTTCTATATATACGCGTTTAAGAAATAAAATTCCTAGATATATGATTTTTGTAGGAAACATTACAATCGGTTTTGTAGCGATTTATCTATGTCAGAAAAGAGGTTATCATAACTATCAAAGTAAGACATAGTTTAATAAAGGGTACCCCCTTTATTTATAAAAAAAATCTTATTATACTGTTTTCTAACGGAAGTCTATTTCTGTCAAAGTACATTTCCACTGTGACGAAAAGAGACAGGTATAATCTTAATTGTCTCTTTCAGTTCAACTTCGCAATCATTGTGAACGCAAGAGCTAATTACATAAGCGAAGGAGCTGTAGTGAACATATTCGACTTCAGGCCAAGTAGTAATGCAAGTGAGTATCACACACTTTTCTACTTCCGTTTGACCACTATTTTATTTGCGCCAAGTTTATTTAGATTATGTATGCTTTAATGCTTTTATTATTTGTATATAGAATTCAGATTGGTTTTTCTTAGATTTTTGATCTTGAATTTCATACTACTAATACTCTGATTTTTAATTCCGTGGAATTCTGACAGCTGTTATATTTTGACATGTCAGAGATGACAAACATGAGATGCCCAGGCACATTTTTCAATTTCAATACGAGTCTGAACATCTTAGTCTATTCATACATTTTATTCGTTAGTGAATGTATCCATTTTCTTAATTGCGGTGCTCCACATTAAAAGTGGTTTTACGGCGAGTGATAATAACGTCCCTTATCATCACTAACAGTAAAAAACGCAAAAGTAAAGATAACCTTTTATTTTTTAAAAAGGTTTACTAAACCTGGATATAGTAAGTAGTGATGCCAGCTAAAGAATAAAATAAAGTAATTAAAGTTAATTCGATATATTGTTCGTGATATTGAAATATTTGTTATTTTTGTATCAGGTCACTTGACTAAGTAAATATTTAGATTTACCTTTTTGTAGATAGAACAAAAAATACGTCGCATTTTATCGCCTTCAAGTGGGTCAAATTTGAACTTTTTTAGTAGCAACACTTATGAAATGTCAGAATTCTACGGAATGAAAAATCTGAGTATAGTATATATAAGTAGATACTATTGTTGGCCCATATAAAGCGTCTCTATAAATGCATCTTGGCGATATAAATGTGGTCCTAATTAAGTTTTACCAGCCTTCCCAACCCTACTTAGAACTAATACTCAAACATAATAAAGACCTGTCGCTTCCAGACTCCTCAGGACGGCCCTGGCTCGGCCTCGAGCACATCAATAAGACGCCAAAACGTTCGCGGGTTAACTACCTCGAGAAAGCCATTAAGATCTACAATTGATTTAATGACCATACTCTTATCTCTCACGAGGAATATATCCATAGAGTCTAGAATTTTGAATCCCGAGCGTATACGTACATGTACGTGCACGCATTCGCATTGCCTTTACACAGAGGACATTTTATTTATTTTGGTTTTATTTATTTGAATCGCGATTTTACTAATTACCGCTGTGCACCGATTTAATATGAATAGAAACAGCTTGCGATTAAATGAATACGATTTCTTACTATATCTATAGTTTCAACTAGGAATTAGTGTAAGCTGTAGAAAAGTTATTTTATTCACAAATTCTCTTAGTGTTCGTTTGATCGCGAGCGTATGTGTTCGCTAACATTTCCATTGATATCATAATGTGGCCTCTGAACTTAGATTCTAATTTTGCTGTTCGTTTAATAAAGCGCTCTCAGGCAAACTCGGGCTATAGAGTTTTAATAAATTTGTCCGTTTTATAAGATAATATTGTTTACGAAATGAATGTATATCTATTGTAGGTGATTATTAACAAATTTTCTAACATCGTAATGAATTTATCATTTATTTTCATTTGTTTCTGTTTTTGCCGTGTATACAATTTGTTTTAGCCATTGTGTAAGCAATAGGAGTCTAATCTATAAACAGCGGGGGTATATTACGTCAATTTAACCAGTAAGTTTCATAAATTAGACTCCTTAGGCTCGAAGCCTGAGAAAAATAAAAGGCGTAATGTATGATGGATCTTAGACTGCGCGAACTATCAAATGATACGTTGACGGGAGTCGAAGCCGAGACTAAGCGTGTAAAACAGGTTTTTCATAAATGTTACGCGTATTACTGTCGTTTTAATGTAGAGTATTCGACGCACCCCAGATATGTTACGTTTATGACGAAATTATGTATATATATGATGTAATAAATTATGGAAAATACAATAAGTTTTCGTAAAGATGCCTTAGACGTTTTCGAAATGATACTTATACCCTTTCGTTTATTTTACGATTAATGGCGCTCCATGCGCTTATATTAACAAGGTTTGGTATAGAAATAGATGTAGATAACTTGCCCAATATGGGAAAATGGGATTATTATCATTTTAAACGTTTTTAGCATTTGACAGTCTGTACACTTGACAGCTTGAACACTTTTCAACGTTTCTCTGAATATAATCCTATATTTGTTTAATCTGGTTTATTTTCACGTTACCTTTAAAGTTAGTTACATGGCGTAGCCGGAGTCCTAGGTTCGATTTCCAATATACAAGAATTGTTTCGCTTTGGTTGGTACTGGACGGCTGTAACTTATCTTAATAAATATGAATGAAATATACCGAAGTGTCTGTCGTGTCTCATTGGTAAGCAACTTGTACTAAGACATAAAATATTTAAGTTATTCGCTCAAGCTCATACAAATGTTATCACTTAATAAATTTTACATACACAAAAGTGTGTCTACATATTCCATCCCTACAATCCTTATGACCACTTGGCTGAATGTGTGACTGATTTTATAGACACGGTGAAAAGCATAGAGAAGAAGGTAGCTGAAAGGTGATGTATTGGTGACCTCGAAATGGACGATAAAAATTAAAAATTACAGCTGGTAATTACTATAATGCTTATAAATAACCTAAAAACTAATTATTCTATTATACTATCAATAAGATTATATACTGCTCAAAACAATTAGCGGAACAAGATTTTTCTCCTTTCTATTGCTTAAACTAAAATTAGATTTAAATTAACTTGTACGCTATTTTTTACCTTGTTAATTTGTTAATTACTACAATTAATAAAAAAATTCAATTTGTATTATTTTTATTAAAAAAAAAATTAAAATGTGCATTGTAGACGAAAAACAAAGTGACGTCTTTGAATTTTCATTACTTTCTAATCACAGAAAACACATTTTAAGTAGTTTTTTTCAATCTTTTGAGTATTAATAGAAATTGAAGTGAGCCTTTTGAGTATTGTTATTCATTGAAGCGAGTGAGTTTAGGTCATAATGCCAGATCTGACTGAATTGCATGTCTCCCGAGCTATCGCTTTGCTTGAAGAGGGTCGAACTATGCGTTATGTAGGAAATGATCTAGGAGTAGCCCCTTCTGCTATCTACAGACTTTGGAAGCGATACCGTGAGACGGGAGAATACTCACGAAGGCGTGGTCAAGGTCGAAAGAGAAAAACTACACGTTTGCAAGATCGCTACATCGTCAACTGTGCTTTACGTAACCGCACCACAACTGCAAGAGATCTACAAAATACACTAAGGACGTCTACTGGTGTAGAAATTTCCGACCAGACGGTAAGAAATAGGTTGTTGGAAGCCAATTTGAGATCACGCCGACCAGTTCGTGCTGTGCGTCTAACAATTCAACATAGACAAGCTCGCCGACAGTTCGCGCAAAATCACGCAACTTCGACATTGGAGGCCAGTGCTTTTTACTGACGAATTACGATTCCGTCTAACACGTTGCGATGGTCGTCTCCGTGTTTACAGACGCCCAGGCGAGCGATACAGTGCAGCAGCAGTCCAGGAATATGACAAATTTGGATGTGGCTCTGTGATGGTTTGGGGCGGAGTTAGTTTGGACGAGCGCACAGATCTCGTCGTTGTTCCCGGGCGCTTGTGTGCTCAAACTTACATTGAAAATGTGCTCGAAGATCATGTTTGGCCCGCAGCATATGGTATGGGCCCAGATTTTCTTTTAATGCAAGATAATGCCAGGCCGCATACTGCAGGCATCACGTCATTTTTTTTTTTATAGAACGGGGCAAACGGGCAGGAGCTCACTATTTAATGATACCGCCCCCATGACATCTCAATCCAGAGGGCTCCAGTCGTTGCCGGCCTTTTAAAAATTGGTACGCTCTTTTCTTGAAGACCTAAGTCAATTGGTTCGGGAATACTTCAGTGGGCAGCTGTTCCACATAGTGGTGGTGCCGGCAAAAATGCCTTAGAAACTCAGTTTGGAACGTCGGACGTCGAGGTGATACGGGTGGAATTTCGTATTCTGCCTCACGTCCGATGATGAAACTCAGCTGCAGGTATTAATCGAACAACTCCTCTGAACACTCTCCATGGTAAATGCGGTAAAGATGCAGAGTGACCCCACATCTCTACGCAACGCCAAAGGATCAAGCCGCTCGGAGAGGGATTGGTCGTCAACATTCGAACCGCTCTGCGTTGTATACGGTCAAGTGGAAGGAGCTGGTACTGGGAGCCCCCCCAGAGGTGAGAGCAGTACTCCATTGGGGCCGAATTTGCGCTTTATATAGTTGCATGCGGTGGCCCGGAGTGAAGTACCGTCTCGCCTTACTGACACACCAAGCTTTTTGGAGGCTAATTTAGCCTTTCCTCTCCAAGTGACCGCGAAACTGAACGTCGCTCGATATGTCAACGCCAAGTATTCCAATGCTGGCTGTGGCTTTAAGAAGAGTGTTTTCGAAAAGAGGAGTAGCGACAAAGGGTGTTTTTAGCGGAAAACGCCAAACTTGTGTCTTCTTGGGGTTAAATTGGACTAGGTTTTGTCTGCCCCAATCTGAGACTCCACAAGTAGAGTTTCAACTTCAGACACAAGTTTGTTCCGGTACTCATCAACAACTCCCGAGAAATACCTCCCGGCCAGTGTAAAAGTATCCCCAGTACTGTCATCCCATAGCAATGAATGTTGCTAAGTTTCAACATATCATTGATATGCAGAAGAAATAGGGTCGGGGATAGAACACAGCCTTGTGGGACCCCAGCGTTTACGGGTTTTAGGTCGGAACATGCTCCGTCGATGACGACCTTGATGCTCCGATCGGCCAGAAAGCTGAGATCAATTGCGTAATTTCTCGGGAAGCCCATAGGCTGGAAGCTTCGAGAGCAGTGCTCTGTGCCACACCCGATCGAAGGCTTTCGCTATGTCCAAACTAACCGCTAGCCCTCCCCCTTGACTCAATTGCCTCTGCCCATCTATGTAAGGTATACAAGAAGGTCACCACCGAACACCACGACAAAGCCGTACTATAATCGCTAATCAGCTGGTGGCCCTCTAGATACCTCAAGAGCTGGCAATTAACAATGGATTCCATTATTTTGGAGAACAAGGAGGTTATAGCTATTGGGCGATAGTTGGACGGATCAGAGCGATCGCCTTTTTTAGGGATCGGATGTATCAAAGCGGTCTTCCACACTTCGGACAGTGCCGAGCGAGTACAGGTACCGGAAAAGGCGCGTTAAGACCGAGCCAACTCAGGAGCACAAGTACGCAGCACAATTGGGGGATACCATCCGGCCCGCTCGACTTATGAATGTCCAAGGAAGATAGTGCTTTGCGGACAGCACGTTGCCGGAATGTGATTTCCGGCATCGAAGAATCACACCGCGAAATGGTCGGTGGTGATCTCCCTCGTCATCCAAAGTCGAGTTAGACCAAGAGACAGCCCAAAAGGTCAGCCTTCTCCTTCGCAGTGTGGGCCAGAGAGTCATCCTCCCTTCAGTGGCGGAATGGCCACAAATTCCCTACAGCTTTGGCGAGAGACCAGAAGCCAGTCCTATGGGAGTTGGGCCAATCTCTCCCAAATCTGGCAATTGCTCTGACTTTGCCTTAGTGATTTCCCGTTTGAAGGACCTGGAGGCTGAGTTATATGCTTTTTAAGTTCGCTGGTATTGGCATCACGAGATTTCGCCGCTTCCGCCCATGCCTTAAAGCATTCTCGCTTTCGACGCGAGGCCGCCTTGCAAGAACGTTTAAACCAGGGCTGAGACTTGCCACCATCGGCACCGCAGAAAATGGAATAAAGAGTTCCATCCCTCAGAACCACTTCGCACAGAGGCGGCGACGAATCTGAGCTCCGGCGAAAAGCACATAGGCCCCCAAGGGAGACCAAAGAAAGAAAGATTACTTACGACAGCAGGAAATCCGTGTAATGGAGTGGCCTTCCATAAGCCCTAACCTAAATCCAATTGAACACATTTGGGACTTGCTTGACAGGCGCATCCGGAAGCGTCCGATTGCACCTCAAACACTGCAGCAGCTC